AGGACTTTCGGGGGGCCCTAATGGTGTTCTTTTTTATACGAAGTCAGCTTATTGCCCCCACAATCCGGGTCCTCATTTTATCTACCTCGGAAGGATGGAAGGCTGAGTCAACCTTGAGCCTGGTGAGATTTGAACTTGCAGTAATTGCAGGCAGCTGGTGCTACTTAACAGCACTTTAGTCTGCTGCACCACCAAGGCTCATTGAATTCCTGCACAGGGAAGGCTAGAGTAGATGCTCTCCAAGATCCCTTCCAATCCTTACGTTCTATGATCCACTGAATATGATTGCATCAATAGGAATGTACAGTGTTTTGAAGCTTAAAGTGAAACAATAAAGTACTTTATTAAACAAGTGAGTACCAGTATATAAAATATTTTCAAATAAACAATAATACAATAATCTTCCTAAATGAAAACATATTACTTCATATGCAAAGATTGTTTTAATTATGGGGAAAAAATCCATCACTATAAACATTTTATTGAAATGCTTAAGACATTAAAATGAAATCTCCTTCAGAATATTTAAGAAAAAGAATTTATTTAGCCTGTGCTTATAATGAGTGCAGCATAAGGCCTATGCAAGCAATTTTGACATAAACAGACAACATAAGGTTTATCAAGGAGACATACATACTCCACGGTGTTTATAAGTAGATGGCAGTTGTACTCAAGTGTAATTAAAGCAGCAATAATTATTTTCCTGGCTTCTGGTGCGCCGGTTGCTTCAAGATATTCTCTACATTTCTGGCATTTCCATGCCAATTCCCTCTAAAATAGCATTGATTTTTGCTGATCATGAAATGAAAAGGTACCGTTCAGTCTTTCTTTTTCCAGCTCACCAAACAGAAAACACAAAAACTGTCAGAGGCATTGTATTTAAAAGCCCTATTATTTGTAATGCTGAGATAATAGCAGTATCCATCATTCTGTTTCTCAACAGCCGTGATCATGCTTGCTTATTGCTTAACTTAGATTTGAGGAGTGAGGGGATGAATTCTAATCAGTGCATACAGAAAAAGATACATTTCAGGAACAAGAAACAGAACTACTAAGTGAAAGAGAAAATCCAGTAGACGGAGTGAGGCAAGAGCTTCTTTCAGAAAAATGAAACTCTCACAAGATCTATAGAACCACAACAATTAGTGGGAAATACCAATTTTCCTGATTTCCAATAAACCAGAACCAGAAACACATATATTCAGCTCATAAAAATAAAACAAACGTGAGAATCTTGTGATATCAATCAGCTCCTCATTCAATCACAAAATTGTGCAAATCATTAATGTGTAAGGGTCTTTTAGTAGTATTCAAATGAAATTTGCTAGCAGAGAATATATCAGGGCATTGGAACAGGGGTACTGCTTAAACAACCAATTCCTGAACTGAAACCGAGCTTGTGCAATAGTGTGTCACACTCATTTTGTCCTGATTTTACCTTTGTCCTTTCCATGCAGCCACTCCAGGCTACTTAAAAACTATCAGAAAGAAAACCTTGATCAATCGTAACTTTCCTTTTAAATTCCCCCAGCCTCTGTTGAGATTGTAACAATACTGCTTTTCTCTGCAGTCAATTGAAGGAAAACCTGAAATGTTACAAAGTGACATTTGACATATGTAAAAAATGTCTATGATCCATGAGTAAATTGAAAAAGCATTCAGTTCTAGGAAGGGACACTTGGGATTGGTGGATATTCAGATTATGATAATTATAGACCATGGATCAAATCCAAGTTGACACACACACACACACCCTTTCAAATATCCCAATTAAAATTACACAGGCTTGTTTCCAGTGATTTCAGAGGAAGTCATTACAGCAAGAGAAGTTCATAGAGATGTGTGAAATATCAAATAAAAGCATAATCACAGGGCACAGGTTAAGGCATTGGTGTTTGAAGTTTAATAAGTTCTAATCACTTAAGGCCTGATTATCTCAATAGCCATCTCTTCCCATCAAGAAGTGCAACGAAGTCCTTTTGAAGATGCCACTGCTTTCAGAGGTCCATCCTTCCTAAGGTATAACAGAGCTATTTCATTTCTTCATCCCACACTAAAAAGTATTACTATAATTTATCCAATAGCAGCTTTGTTAGAGTCATAGATCAATTATTATGAAAAGCAGGCCAAATATCTAGAAGGAAGAGTGAACATTTGTGCACAAAAGATAAAAATAATAAAACAGAAAAAATGACAATGATATTTTAAGTGAAATGGTCTTTCCTGTGATACAGGTCCATGTGTGATGTTGGCAGTTAAAAAGCCAAGGCCATCAAGTCCCCAGACAGCTCTATAGCAACAGTATAGGACTTAGCTACTTATTGGGGGGGGAGGGGTGATCCCAAGTCTTTTCACATCCATGACCCAAAGAGCATCTTATGGAGGGTCACTTAGAACAGGAAGAATAGAATAGAATAGAATAGAATAGAATAGAATAGAATAGAATAGAATAGAATAGAATAGAATAGAATAGAATAGAAGTTGAAAGGGAACTTGGAGGTCTTCTAGTCCAACCCCCTGCTCAAGCAGGAGACCCTGTATCATTTCAGAGAAATGGTTGTCCAATCTCTTTTTGAAAGCCTTCCGTGATGGAGCACCCACAACTTCTAAGGGCAAGCTATTCCATTGGTTATATTGTATTCAGCTTCACAGAAGGCAAGGCAATATATTCCCCATCTAAACCAACTCAAAGTATATACATGAAATACATACATTTCATCCCACCCTGAGTATATCTTAAAACTGTGGTATTTCTTCAACTAAATGGATCTCAGTTCATCTACTATCCAGAACCTTTTCTGCATCTCATTCAGGGTATGACCATCAGTTCAATCAGAACAGCACTGGAAGGGACTTGGAGGTCTGTCTTCTAGTTCAACCTCCTGCTCAAGCAGGAGACACTAAAACCATTTCAGACAGGTGGCTGTCCAGTCTTTTCTTAAAAACCTCCAGTGGTGAAACACGTACAACTTCTGAAGGCAAGCTGTTCCACTGGTTAATTGTTCTCACTGTTAGGAAGTTTCTCCTTAATTCCCGGTTTCTTCTCTCCTTGATTAGTTTCCATCCATTGTTTCTTGTCTTGCCTTCTGGTGCTTTGGAAAATAAGTTAACCCGCTCTTCTTTGTGGCAGCCCCTCAAATACTGGAATAGTGCTATGTCACCCCTAGTCCTTCTTTTCTCTAGACTAGATGAAACAAGCATATTTTTAAGCAATTGCTTTTTGCAATTGCAAAAAGAATGACTAAGAAATTCCTACTTCAGCAATGTTATTAAAAGTTTTACTTTCAGCTTTACTGTGTGTTTTCAAAGCATACTTTAAAATAATTTCCCTTTTTGAACTTTTCCTTTGATCTTTATTTTGCATCCAGGAATGAGTCAAATGATGTCTGCAATGATACAAAATGTTCTCCTTGGCTGAAAACCTATGGTCAGAGTTCAGATTCTGGATAGCTAAAATATTTGGGGATGAAACTTTATGAGTTAGTGAGTTTTTATAGGTTTCATACAATGATTTGTTCCATTTCTAACCAATTTTTTTTTTCCCCTGATCCGTTCCGTAAAGATGGGAAGGGCCGTTGCTACACAGTGTATTTTGATCAGCAGGACAAAGTCTTCTCTATTTGGCAGCAAGCCAGATTTCCGAAGTTCTTCACAAACTACACAGCAAAGATCTTTGGGTACTAATCTGCAGGCATTACAGGAAGCTCTTAGAACAGCATTGCAAAAGTGGATTCAGGGTTTATCTGTTTTAGGATGCAGAGACTTGAAGAGTGAAAATGATCAGGGCTAAGCATATACAAAGTATCCTGCCATTCCCTTCTACTACACACACAAACACACACACACACACACACACACACACAGAGAGAGAGAGAGAGAGAGAGAGAGAGAGAGAGAGAGAGAGAGAGAGAGAGAGAGAGAGAATCCAGAAAAAAGACTTTCAGATAAATGTTCAAATAAAATGAAGTTTATTTTCCAAAAGTGACCTTCCCACAAGCAAACCCAGTGGTGTATTAACCATTAAGCAGACTAAGCACGTGCTTAGGGCATCAGGCCCAAAGTGGGCACCACAGAGTTGAGAAAGAAAAAAAAAACCCAGTGGTTCTTCATTGAAAGGGGGGGGAGCACCAAGATTTATCAGTGTTTAGGGCACCAGTGAACCTTAATCCTTAAACCCCTCGCAACACACCGAGGCTTCCTTCACACGACTTTTGCTATAGCCTCTTTACCTTCGTTTCACCCTTCATTGAAAGTGGGGGGGGAGGGGGCTTTCGCGATTTAGTTAAAATTAGGCAGCGAGAGAAACTAATGGATTTCATTCAGCCTCCCTCCCAAATGAAAACCTTCCGGTCCCAGGCAGCCATTCGAAGGGAGGCGATCTTCACCTGTTGGAACGCCATCCGCGTCAGCCTGCGAGGCGCGCCCACTCCCCACCTTCCCCCCCCCCAAAAAAAGCAGCTCCAACCAACCTGTCCCCTCGTTCCTTTCCCGGCTTCCGCGCCCTCCCCTTCCTTTGCCTTCCCCGTGGGGGCGGTTCACTCGCCTCTACCCCGCCTTCCCTCGCCTCGCCCGCCCGCCTTTGCCATTTGCCTCGCAAGCGGTTGAATTTCTTCCGGCGGGCTTCGGCTGGGTTCGTGAGATTTGACGGCAGGGCTCGGGCGAGGAATCGACGCTGACGCGCGGGCATCACCGGCCGAGCGGGGCGCACGGGGAGGCGCCGTGAGTACCCCTCAAACCCAAAGCGCGTGCCTTTAGTCCCGGTCCCCGCTGCCTTAACCCAGCCTTAGAATCCAGCAGCAGCAGCAGCAAGCAGCCGGCTGCTTAAAGGAGAAGGGTCCCCCTATATCGCCGATCCCTTAAAAACGATGCACCCAATTTCTGGGCAGGGAGGGAGAGAGGAAAAAAGGGGGGGCAGGCGGAGGTTTTTGTGTGTTTTTTTTTTTAAACGAATTTGGAGTTTATTGGCTGGAGAATGTATAATAAAAATAAGAAAAGCCGCCTCTAGGTGGGTTGGTTGCATACCGTGCCTGGAGGTTGTGCTTGTCTCTTGACACGTTTTTTCCCTCCCTTACCCCAAAAAATGAATGCCGGGAAGAGAAGCGGGAGGATGTTTCTTTTGAGCCGGGATCCTGTATGAAATGGCGCAGGATGTCCCGAGACCCCTTCGCCGGTTGGACTTCTCTGCTAGAGAAAAGCCCCTTCCAGGGTATCAGTCTTTTAGCGTCTGGGTATGCTCCGAAAATCTGTTTCAAGGACGCGTGGCGAGAAATCGGCGTAGGGGGGGGGGGGAAAGGGAGGAAATTTAGGGAGGAAAGGCGAATGTGGAGGCCATTGGGTTTTCATCTCTCTCTATCTCTCTCTCTGATTTGGTGTCAAAGGAATGCAAGAGATAAGATTCTTGAATGATGACTTTCCTGGTGGGGGGAAAAAAATACCATGCAGAGTTTGCATCTGTGGGTTGGTGTGTGTTTGAAATCCCACAATTGGTCACACTGCTAGAATAGGAAAATAAAAAGGGCAAAGTCGTTTGCACAGGCCACCTAGAAAATGAAATATGGAAGCCATAAAATAGATTGTATTTTCCCGCTTCCAAGCCCCGGCAGCTGATAAGAGAAGGGCACTGCAGAGGAAAGAACTGGAGAGGCTGGAAGCTGCTGTGCTGGCAGACCCTGTTGCCTATGTTAACATCTGGAAATGACTGGAAAAATGATGAAATATCTCTCTTAAGTTACATGCAAAAGATGGCTGCTCTTGGTGAGGAGGCTGCCTCAGCAATAGGCATTGTCCACAGGCTGTAGTCTGTTGCTAGGTTACATCAGGATCTTCCCCCCTTCCCCTGACATACACATGAACATAAATGCATCTTGTTGATGTTTCTGATCCCCGATTCCCACTGGTGCATATGCTTCTCCCGATGCATTGTGGGGAAGTTACAGGAAAATATGCTGAGGCAGTTAAATGGCAAAAAAAGCAGTTTCAATTTAAAAAAAAATGACATGACAACATTCTTCCCCCCCACCCCCAGCACACATACATACACACAGAGAGACCCTTACTGTGTGTAATGATGTATAGTGCTATCCTTATCTCTCAGCTGTTACCTGGGCTCTGAACTGAGACTGGTTGAGTGATTACACACAGAATAGTTTTGCTCTGGGTTTACACACAGGAAATCTAGAACTTCCATCTTCAGAACTCTGAATGATACCTTTACCCAAATTATAAGGATGGCAGAGCTGGGAGAGTTTTCTTAAAGGAAGCAAGTGCCCTTGGGTCTTTCAGTGAACCTCCAGTGGAAACTGTTGCATATCCCTAATTATCCTTGTGACTGTTTCATGTAACCTTTCTAATGTTACTGAATCATTTATCTGTGACATAATGGCCAAAACTCTTCAGATTAGTAGGTTAGGAGTGTTGCATCCTTATTTCTTTTTCTCCGTTTGGTTACCCCAGAAATCACTGTGGTAGCAAGGAAATGCCTTCATGATGAACTTCAGTATCTTTCAGTCCACAATTAGTTTACTTAGACTGGTTTAATTTGCCATTCTGCGTAATAAAATTCGACTAGATAAAAGGCCATTATTCCATCCTTGCCCAGTTGAGCAGCCTTCCTTTAACCATTGGAATTGCAATTCCTGGAACATATAACCCAATGAAGCTGATGATCAACTATTAAATTTCCCCTACAGGCTACTATAGATTACTGCAGGCTACTTACAACATCTGATTCATCTAAAATAGGGGTCACCATACTTTTGGATCCCAGAGACCACTAAACTCATAATTTTAAATCCCACGGACCACTAATATGATTTGCCTAATGACCAGCTGGGTGGCCGTGGCTAGGTGGTCATGTGACTGGGTGGGCATGGTCAACTTGATGTCACTCACATCAAGGGGCGCCTCTACTTGCCTCTCCCCACCCAGTCAGTCCTCGCCTCCCCACCCAGGCTCCTTAGAGCCCCAACAGGAAGCAGTTGTTGAAGCTAAGCAGCTACAATGAGAAAGAGTTGGCAAAACAGCTCAGTTCAAATTGGATCTGACCGCGAAGGAGGCTCAGCAGAAGCACCTCACTGAGGACTAGGAGCATAGGCTTTCCAAGCAGAGGGAAGACCTGCGGGAGTGCAAGGCCAGGTACCAGCACCTGGAGGTTCAGCAGGCTGAGGTGGTCAGCCAGTTCCAGGCCATGCTGCAGTCCCATTGGAACAAGGCTCTCCAGCTCTTCACCAAAAGCAGCACTTCTCTCCAGCCTTTGCCCAAAGCCCCGCACCAGGAGGCTGAAGAAGACCCCAAGTCAGAATTTTCCCCCCTCTGACCCACACAAGAAAACCCTGAAGGGGGAGACTCTCTGCAGCAACATAAATGTTCATTGCATGTATTCAGCCCAGGGACGTAGTTTGAGGACCCCTGATTTAGTGCAATATAAAAAATACAAATAATTTTTCTGCTGACCACCAAAATTTTCTCGCGGACCACCAGTGGTCCACAGACCACCAGTTGGTGACCACTGTTCTAAAGCATATTCTGTGGTCTTCTGATAGAAAGCCAGTAATGTAAGTAACAGTCTTACACAATTTTAATTATCATTGTCAACAATCATATCTAAACAGAAAAGTCTGGGTTTCAAATATTGACTTATCTAATATTATTCATTATTTTAAAGCAATGCATAATTAATATGGAGAACCTGATTTCAAAATTTTGCACTATAGAAGCATATGACACTGGAATCAAATGTATAGAAAGCAATAAGTGGTTCACACATTCTTTGTTTATATACTACCTTTCTTAAATTCAACAGTACAGGGGTTGACGGATTTTGTATTCAAGGTATGGTGCATCACAACAGATTTCTTATTTATTTATTTTTATTTATTAAACAAATTTATATAAGTGCCCAACTCATGCAGGTGACTTTGGGCAGTTTAAAGAATTTAAAAACTCCACCCTGTAATAAAAAAACCTCCTCCCTTGGCAGCAACAACACAATCAAACCAAGGTAGGTGTGTACACACGGGGGGAGGAGAGAGATTTGTCTATACCAGTGTTTCTCAATCTCAGCTGTGGACTTCAACTCCCAGAATTCCCCAGCCAGCATGCCAACACATGATAAAAAGTCCCTTCTTATTGTTGACATTTCCATGATAAATTTGAAGTCCTTTGTATATTCTAGAAAATTTATCAGGTGCCATATACCAATGGTGCATTAGTTTATATAATATCTCTAATATTACAACAAAGTGTAATCTCTTGTTTGTGTTTTGTATTCCCCTTGATAAAATTCTAGTATCTCACAATAACTTAACCATTTGTATTTACCTATTATTTCTCTTCTATAAAATGCTGCTTCTGTTGAGAACCGCAAAAGTGTTCTGGGGCACAACCTTGGTTTTATCTATTCTATATTCTCAGCATGGTATGTCTAACATAATGATTGAAAAAACACATTAACCTTGACTTTATCATTTTACAAATACCCATGCCATCCAAATCTCAGGTCATGTCTTTATAATTCCAAAAATACCTCTATTTTTCAGCAGAAAAAAAAATGTTTTTGGGTTAGGGTTAGCTGATCTTGCTGATGTACATTCCATGCATATGAAACTGTAGATCGCCTATAAGAAAATCCAAGAGTTTTTAAAACAAAAAATGGAATTTTGCAAATAAATTCATGTAGTTTTCTTATGAGACCAACCATCTGATTTGCAAAACATCATATGCATGCATCCAAATACTTTGAAAATGCTGCTTCATAAAAGATGGAATATGAAGCACTTCTTTTGATATTGTTAAAGAGGTTTTTTTTTTTCCTGTTTGCATGGCACCTTCCAGCCCTTTTCTTACCTCTCTCCACATATCTATACATAAACAGTCTTACTAGAACATTGTGTATCTCATATGCTTCTATAGTGAATGCAGTATTTGTCTGTTATCAATTTCTGTATGTGTGGGTGCGCATAGAGTGTACATGTATTACAGAAGTTAGTAGACTATATTCACATGTATAATTTCATCACATTCATTGTGCTACTTTCATAAGCACTCAGTGAAAGGAACACTTCAAAGTTCCGATGGATGGATGGATGGATGGATGGGATGGGATGGGATGGATACATGCATCAATTGATGTATGTTCATAATTTCTAAAAAAATAATTGTGTGGGAACATCAAAAAGTTCAATCTAATTCTATTTAAAGAAGTGTTGCTACCTGAAGCTTTCAATTTCTTTCATTATAGATACAGTATTGATCTATAAATGAGGTTTAAAATCTTATTACATTTCTCCATTACTTTTTTTGATGGACTTTGCTCAAGATTTTCTTTTTCTTTTCATTTTTATTTATTTTTGCTGTGTCTCCCTCTCTCCCTATATATAAAGCATTTACGGTATACCCCATCTGTTCTATAGATAGAGAAAGGTCTGCTCTCAATTCATCCTCATAGCAGTACTGTGAAATAGATTGATGATAAAGTGACTGGTTCAAATCTTTGCATGAGTTTCTGGATTTAAGTAGGGACTAAAACTGAATCTACCTGGTCCAATCATTGCATGGCATCCCAATCCTTGTATTTTAGATCTTTTCCCTGAAGCTCTTCTGCTGCTGATCATTCCTAGAATTAGGCTGAGGAAGAAAGTATGCAATTATGCCTTTTCTTGCATAGTCCTTTTAGCAATAGTACTTAGACTTATTTACCGCTTCACAGCACTTTACAGCCCTCTCTAAGCAGTTTACAAAGTCAGGATATTGCCCACAATAATCTGGGTCCTCATTTTACCGACCTCAGAAGGATGGAAGGCTAAATCAACCTTGGGCTGGTCAGGATTGAACTCCTGGCCGTCAGCAGAATTAGACTGTATTCTACCCACAGTGCCAGCACCGCATTTTCCCATAAGCTTTTAGGAGGAAATTGTGCTCATGAATAGAATGTGTTAGAAATGTCTACTTTATAAAACTCCTTATCCCATAGCAAAGTTAGGGTTCCCCCAACCCCAATTATCTAATTAAGACCATTATTTTCCACCTATATTGTGAGCCCTGTTTCTCCATGACTTTTGAACAATTCCGATCAGGACTTCTGAAAGGGAAGACTGATCTTTGCATTGGGAACAGTGGGTCGCAAAATTAAAACCTCCCTCCTTTCAATCCATAGCGATCCTATGTGTGTGACTTGATTATCCTGGATATAATAAGAAAATGAAGACAAGGATTAGAAACCACTCATGTGATCAATCTCGGAAGCCCCGATTTGTGTTTCCATTCTTAATTTGGCTTGTTTGCCATCAACCACCTTATCAGATAAGCATGTCTGATTGGCTGCGCAATCCTTGTTCAGCACATAATTGCCTGATACACAAGGAAAAAATGATTTATTTTCTTAAGTAAGGAGTGGGAAAGTTGGGAAACAGCATCAGCAAATCTTACAGCGAAATGAACTTTTCAGAAAGTTCTTTGTATTCCTCTCTTTTAAGAAAGCATCTTTGGCCTAAAAATTAAACCAAGCAGAAGTTTTTGGCTTGGCCTCAAACACTATGAATATAAATTTGGTTGGACTTTTAAAGTACTTTGCATGAATATTAGATTACATGCAATATCTGATTAAATAACAAGATTAGTAAATTGGATTAATGCAGAGTTTTAAATGCTGCTTTGGCAATGAAAACTAAAGCTAAAGTGAAATGACCTAAAAACAGATTACAAAGGAAAATATGATACGTAGTCTTCCTATCTGATTTTCAATGAGGTTGTGGCAATATATCAAAAAATAAGAAGAGGATTTGATAGTAAATGAAAACTTTTATAATAAATTGCATTGGTGTATTTTTCTGTAGAAATATTAGAAGGGATTCTCAAAACGATTTAGTAATATAGTAAATAGATATTGTAAATCAAACAGACACATTTCAAAATTATAATTCAATCCCTGGGTGGAAGGAAGGTGGAGCTATCTGCTGCTTTTGCTCCAAATTCTGTACATTGTCTGATTCTGTTCCACTCTCCACCACAAGTTCCTAAATATGGCTAAGGATCTAGGCAGTCAATAATCGGAGCATACTGAAGCCACGTCACCAGTCCCCTTCTTTTGCCCATACATTTCTATAAACGTTGCTCTTGTATTTAACCCCATTGCAGTTGGCGTCTTGTTGGCTGAAAATTCTACAGAAGTGAATGGCAATTGAATCATGAGAGTAGTTTCAAAATTGGGCAGGGAGGAGCACAGAATTGCTCCCAAAGTTAGGTTTTCTTTATCCAAGTTCTAACAAGGCTTCAGAGATCTGTAAGAGAACCATTTTTTAACTCATATAAGAGAAATAAAAATGTCAATAACTTTGAAACTGAAATGCACTTCAATCTCTGTTTTATATTCAGTGTTCTTGAAAAAATGTCAGGAGATATACCATTAAACATCAATATCAAAGAGCCTCGCTGGGATCAAAGCACATTTGTTGGACGCGCTACCCACTTCTTCACGGTTACTGATCCTAGGAATATATTGTTACCCAATGAACAATTAGAAAAAGCAAAAATAATTGTACACAATTACAGGTATGGTTTGGGTTTTCTGTTCCCAGTTTTATTCCAGTTTCTCTAGATAGCTAATGTTATTCTAAGGTTATTGTAATAAGATCAGAGAAATCATTTGTCTAGGAAAAATTAGTCCTTTTGTAAGTTAAAAAAATTACTTTTGGAATTCAGGAGTTAGGCTTCAGGAGCTAGGAGTTAATGTTCTGCAACAATGAACTAGGAGGCAATTGGGAAATCGTGAGTCTAAAAATGCTAATATTTTCACATTGGAAGTATTTTGGAGATGAAAAGGAAACATCAGTTATGGTAGACTTCATCTTATGACCACAATTAAGCCCCAAATTTATGTTGCTGAATGAGAAATTTGTTAAGGGAGGTTTGCCCCATATTACAACTTTTCTCACCACATTTGTTAAGTGAATTACTGCAGTTCTTAAATTAGTAACATAGTTAAATCTGGTTTCCCCATTGACTTTGCTAATCAGAAGATCACAAAAGGGGATCACATGACTGCGGGACACTGCAACCGTCATAAATGCAATGAGTCAGTTGTCAAGCATCTGAATGTAAATCACATGACCATGGGGAAGCTGCGATGGTTATAAGTGTGAAAAATGGCCATAAGTCAGGTTTTTTAATGCCATTGAAACTTCACATGGTCACTAAATGAACTGTTGTAAGTTAGGGCTACCTGTATAGAGAAAACTATGCATATTTTCCTCCAATGGTTATGAAACCATATAGTTTTGATAATTTTGAAAAGACCAGATATAAATATAGAATGAGTGATAGAGTTTCTTACATGGGGATATTATTATAGTTTAAAAATATTCCTTAACCTTTGGGAACTAAAATATTGATAGTATTATATTAATGATAAACTATTTATATATATATTTCTGCTAATCATAAGGCAAGGCATTGTGGCCCCTGGCCTGACAGAAGATGAACTGTGGAGAGCAAAATATGTCTACGATTCAGCCTTCCATCCAGATACGGGTGAAAAGATGGTTTTGATTGGCCGTATGTCTGCTCAGGTGCCTATGAACATGACAATTACTGGCTTCATGATGACATTTTATAGGTAAGTGATCTTAAATTACTGATAAATGATAGTGTACACAATAAAGAACTTTTTTAAGGCTTGGGTCTTAAAAAATGTCAAAGACATATGTTGAAGGGTCAGAAAGACTGCTAAAAGGAACACTTTGCCTGTTTACTAATGTCCCAAAGGTGTTTTTTCAAGAGTCAACTGGACTTTCCGGTTTTTCTTTGAAGACGTTTCACTTCTTATCAAAGAAACTTCTTCAGTTCTGACTAAAAGATTCCATTCCCCACTATCCAGTCAGAACTGAAGAAGCTTCTTGGATAAGAAGCGAAACGTCTTCAAAGAAAAACCAGAAAGTCCAGTTGACTCTTGAAAAAACACCTTTGGACAACCATGACCCGGATGACTGAGAATCTCCATAGACTTTTTACTAATGATTTCCTAATTTGTACTGATAAACATTTTCTCTGGAATTAGTTACGACACAAGCTTCGGATAATTCTGTCTTTTAGCTGACATTTACAATGAGGTGTCCAGATTCCCATCCTATTAGGAAAACTATTTAAAGCAGCTAACAATGGGAATTCAGAATGGATTGTTGATAGGTCTAGTCTAGGAATTGTTAATAGTGGCGTGTCAGTTCATCTTCAGACTGTGTTATTCATCTGTGCCTATTCTGTGCTTTATTACTTTTAATGGTAAGGATTTGTACTTCTGGATGCATATCTGTATATGACCTGGATTTAACAACAACAACAACAACAACAACAACAACAACAACAACAACAACAACAACAACAACAACAAAGGAATTATGTTTTCCTACTTCTGAGCTTTTGAAACATAGGCAAATTTTGTCTGGTAGCTTAATTTTCTATCAAATATTTTTAAGTGAATTGGAATAACCGTTAAAATTCTGTTACAGTAACCGAGAAGATGAATAAAATATTTTTCTTTCTTTCCTTGGAACAATTCTGAAAGAGCTTCCCAGAGGCCTTAGGCCACAGCTGGTGTCTCTTTTCATGAGCAATAAAGAAAATGTGCCAGGAATTTTGCTGTGGGAGCCCAAATCTCTGCTGTGAATCCTTCTCCTCAATTAGCACTCTGATAACATAGGAAGGAGGATAATAGAGGCTTTGGGTCTTCAAAAATCCAAACACTCCCATCATTCTCCTGTCATGCTTCAGAACTGTTCTACACTGGATTTAGAGCTGAGGTAAAGCAGGAAATGCTGTATTAAAACTTTAGCAAGCTACAAAAAACATTCTGCCACTCCATCCTCAAAAGATTACCCATAGCTTGCATTTCTGACATTGGCTGCAGCAAACCAGGAAGGCACATTGTAGGAAGTAGCAGACATATTTCTCCCTCTAACCCCATAAGGTAAGTGATGGCTATATTCAAACTGTAACATTTTTCTTAAGACGTGTATATTTCTGCACTTTGTGTAGGCAAACAGCATTGTTCTGTGAAGTAATTCTTAGTTGTTTCGATAGTTCAGAATGAGTTTGGCTCTGCCCAAAATAATTTGATTCACTCTTGAGTTAATCTGACCTAAATTACGTTTAAAGTATGAAACTTCATTATCATCTGGATAGATTTAAAGTACTAGATAGTACTTTATCTAGTTTGTTACTTTATCAGATTGAGTTTATATCAAACTTCATTGTCCTTTCCTTCTTCCAAGAACAACTCCAGCTGTGGTCTTCTGGCAATGGATTAATCAGTCCTTCAATGCCATTGTAAATTATACCAACAGGAGTGGAGATGCTCCAATTAATGTCAGGTAAAGCCATCAAGATGCACCAAGCAGATAATTCAAGTATGTTGAATAAAATATGTGCTCTAATTTGAACCTAGGTCTAATATGAAGCTTAATATGAACTGCTGTAGAAAATATTGTGTCAGCTAAGGTGTTAAAATTATGTTTTAAATTACTATGATATTATTGAGTCAGTGTAGACCTGATTTGTTGATTTAATAGAGTGATATTTGAAGAATCTCCCATAAAAATGGGAGCGGAAAAAAAAAGGAAAACTCTGGTAATTATCACCATGATACAGAGAGGAGGGGCCAAATCATTGTAGATTTCAAGTTGTTTCAAATCTGAACACTTCTGAGAATTGCATGCCCTGGACAAGATAGCTCTCTGCTTTTTCTGAATGGCTTTCAGCACTATAATGATAATGGATCATAAATTGCTTTGTTAAGATTATTATTAAATCTGCAATGTGGTCTTTCATAGAATGGCTTGACGTGACGACATATAAGCACAAGGTAAACTATAATGGGGAAAAGTAGAAGTGATGCTAAGTGATGCTAACAGTAATATAGAACAAGCATATAGTGCATTTAAAACATTCAAAGCCCTTCACGTAAATATTATCAGCATACACAATGCTACTAGATGCATGTCTGCCGAGTTATTCCTGTCTGGTACTAAACACAATTCCTTTGCATGTTGACCATCCCGCAAGATCATTTGCATTGTTAAAAAGACTAATTAGGTCACTAATGCATTCTAAGTCATTCATTAAGGATTTCAGCTGATGCGAATCAGAACACTTCAAAATGCCATGTGCAACTGACTGTTATAGTTTGTGATGTTCCTAACTTCTGCGAGAGTTTTCTAAATACCCTGTGATTTAAAAATGTAAACTGGTGCCTGGGAAATATAGAAGTGGAATATAGAAGGAGACTGCTTATAGATATTAGACAAATAGACAGGAGCTGCATTTAAATTTTGAACAGAGCGACCTGGAGTATATTGCTAGGAAGTAATGATCTTCAGCAAGTCAAGACACTATGCTTGAAGCAAAGGCATGACCGCCATGGGTTTTTTTCCAGCAGCTCTTCATGGAACTAATCCCAAGTGAGTATTAAAGTTAGAAAGCACAGATTGAAATATTTTTCCTAAGCACAGTCTAATCTTCAATGAGAGCATATTTTATAGCATGCATTGGCCTTGCAGTATTGTAAGGCTAGTCTGTCTCTTTCAGCTCTTGTGAAAATATCTATTGTGTTAAATCACTTTATTGAAAGTAGTTTTAGATTACTTGAGCCACTTTTTATAGAAGATATAGCCAAGAATTGCTGCACAAGCTACAGGCCACACTTGGCCTTTTGAGTTACTATATGCCAGGGGCTACATTCCAAGGAGTCAAGGCCAGAACAAAATATGATCTAAAGTTAAAATTGAATGAATTATATAGTTATTATGTTAACACTCCTCTGAATAATTTCCTCCTCCTGCCATCTAAAAATTACAATTAGGGCAAACTCTGGGTGAGTACTCAGTGTCCCATCAAAGGTTTTTAGGGACCATATAATCTGGGTCTCAAATTATACAGCTCAGCTCTGGTGTAGCTGTTAGTTTATGGCTTCCTGCCACTCTTGGGAAAATTGGATATAAATTGTCAATCCAAATATACTCCCAAATATACTCCTGGTCTTAAACTAAAGAATTCTCAGAATGGATCTGCCACAGAGCCATGACATTTTAAAACTCAATGTAGATATCTGTTTTCTACAAGTTTTATAGTGAAATTTAGTCATTAAAAATTCTGATAAATGTACGCAAGTTATAAAAGCACACATCAGAATAATAGAAAAGTAGATTCAATCTTACTCACAGTCATAATAATTCACTGCATAACTTTGAGCTTTACCCTTTCTTTCAGCCCAACCTACCCTAGAGAGGAGTTGTGAGACTAAAATAAAGCCGCATATATCCCATTACTTTGCCTGCATGATGTAGCATACTTATGTAACTAATGAATAAAACAGCATTAAAGGATCAACTAATAATTTCAGGAGATCAAATCAAAGAGAAGTATGTGAATTCAATTCAAAAAGCGGAAAAACCAATCCTAACTGGAAGTGCTTATGCTGCAAAGATTAGGCAGATTCATAATAAAATGAGTCCATTAAGATAACTCAGTGAAAGTAGCATAATTATTTTAAGGGCAATATCCACATTCTCCATTACTTTATCAGTCCCTATTGTCCTTGAAAAAGGACTTTAGAAACACTGGAAAAGAAAACTTCCCAGCCACTTCCCAGCCCAGTTTTCTTCCCAGAAAACTTCCCAGCCAAACTAGGTTGCCCTAGTTTATCTTTTGGTAATGTTTGTACTGCTACCATAAAATAGGTTGCACAATGCCAGTTATGTGTATAGAATCAAAAACAGAGATTTACAGCATGTGGTTCTTACACAAATACAAACACTCCTATTTTTGTTTTAGCCAGCTGGGAACGGCCTATGTTTCTGCTACCACAGGTGCTGTTGCAACTGCTCTAGGACTTAATGCACTCACAAAGGTATTTCCATTATTCTCTCCTTGTTTAAGACTATCGTGTAAATTGTTGTGAACATTTTATATAACAGTTCTTATATGCACGAGGTGAACCTGGCTGATTTTAAAAAGTGCATTTATTTTTATTTGTGTTATGATAAGTTCACTGAATGACCTTACAGAACAATAACAGAGTTGGAAGGGATCTTGGAGGTCATCTAGTCCAACCCCCTGCTCATGCAGGAGACCTATACTAGGGATTCGAACTGTGGAATTGTCGACCTTTCTGATCAACAAGTTCAGCGTCTTAGCCACTAAGCCACCTAGCCAGGCTATATTATAGATATATAGATATAGATCTTCCAGATTAAATTTCTTGGTTTAACTGAAATTAATTGAGGAACTGTGTCTTGCTGGTCACATCTACTCACCCACTAGAGCGGGGAGGCAAGGAATGCTGTGTGTCCCATCCCCTAGAGAAATACACCTGGTGGGACCTAGAAGAAGAGCCTTCTCCGTGGTGGCTCCCTCTCTCTGGAACATCATTTCCCCAGAGATTAGAATGGACCCTTAACACCCTTCCAGAAGGTGCTGAAGACCTGGTTCTGCCAGCGGGCCTGGGGAGCCCAGAGCAGGATGAAGCCCATTAAATGGCTTGTGTGATGTGTTGTCACCACAGTGGTAGGTGGGGGGATATTATATTATTTTATTAATTTATTATTTGTTTATTTTTTAAATTGGTTTTATTTTTTATATATCATGTTTTTATATCCCTGTAAACTGTTTGAGTCACCATGTTCAAATAGGGGGCAATATAAATTTTCTAATAAATAAATAAACTCTGCATATATCTTCCCTGCAATCATAACATTAGATATCAGAGACAAAAAATATGTAGTTTTTGGTTACTGTGTTTGTATATGTGTATCTTTCCATATATTGAGTATATTAATACAAATATAAATAGTAAATAAATGTGTCATCGGACACAACACCTTAGAGCAGGGGTGTCAAACTCAAGGCCCGGGGGCCAGATCTGGCCTGCGGAGTGCTTAGATCTGGCCGTGGAGCTGCCCTGGAAACAGTGATGTGTCGGTGATGGATCAGCCTGAGGCGCCTCTGCCAGGGAAATCCGTTTTTGTGAGCAGAGAGTTGCAGGAGGCCATCACAGCTGAAAATGGGCCACCAGAGGCGCCCCGACACAAGTGATGTCGAGCTGACCACGCCCACCCTGGCCCCTAAGGTCAAACACAACGCTGATGTGGCCCTCAGTGAAATTGAGTTTGACACCCCTGCCTTAGAGAATGCAATTTGTACTGAAAATACGTAAGCAGCTGATGCCCATAAATACTGAGTACAGTTGGCTCTTGAAAGTTACGTTACATTCTTTGAAATCCTCCTTCAAATTGCCCTGTAGAAAATCCTCATGATCTATACAGGGCCTGGATCTTTGCTGTCCACTTCATGAATCAGATAGGGAAAAAAAGATCGTTCCTGCAAGAAAAAAAAAGAATGCTGAGTAAATTGTGACTCATTGACAGACCAAAGTAGCATAATTCTAAAATCGGTCACAAGGTTGCTGCGGGTTCTTTCTTGGAAGAGAAACTTACTGAAGTTACAGTAACTGTTCGCTGTTGCTTAAGTGAAAGAAAACACGCTCTGCTTTCTTGGTTCATTGATAGTGCAAAGTCAGTGCATTTTCAGAAAAATGCAGTGGGGGGGGAAACTATCCTTAATTTCTTGTAAGGAAAAACATTTAAATACATTACCAAGAGACACAGTTACAGCTCTTTTCTCTTTTATTTTGATCTGCATTCTTCAGACAGCTGATCATAAAATATTATTACTGTTAGACTTTTCGCTGCTGTCCTTCATGGCTTAAGTCAAAATTCTTTTTTTTTAATTCTTTTTTTAAAAAAAATTATTTATAACACAACACAATATAATAAACACATCACAAAACACATAATATAAATTCCTTTTTTACAACTGTTTCGTAATGGTCATCTTCTAATATTTACATCTTCTCCCATTTCCCCTTATACCAATACTTCTCAACCTTGGCAAATTGATGATATGTAAATTTCAACTCCCAGAATTCTTCAGCCATGATAGCTGGCTGGGGAATTCTGGGAGCTGAAATCCAGACATCATCAACTTGCCAAGGTTGAGAAACACTGCCTTATCCTGTACTTTTCCTTCTTGTCCCTTTTTCTCTTATTTACATTATAATTCCTAACAATCATGATATTAATTTTATACGTTTTATACCTTGTCCTATCAACATTTTACATTTATAACTTCTCTCCTGTTCTTATTGTTCACTATTTCTAATCTTCAGCCAGTTGTACCATTTATTCCATACTACATAGTATTCCCTATCTTTCTTTTCTTTAATTTCTGTTGTTAATTTGTCCATCTCGGCACACTCTAAGATTTTTTTTATCGATTCTTCCTGTTTGTGTATTTTTATTTTTCCAATTTTGTGCAAATGATATTTGTGTGGCCGTTATAATATGTAAAATCAAGTATTTTATTTCTTTAGAAATTTTTAAAAAGTCAAAATTCTTAAATAAAAAAAAATTAACCAGGGTTAGCCATATTCAGGTGACCCTCTCTTTTCTTTCCACAGCATGTTTCACCACTTATAGGACGTTTTGTTCCTTTTGCTGCTGTAGCTGCTGCAAATTGTATTAATATTCCATTAATGAGGCAAAGGTAAGATAAACCGTAGTATGTGACCTTCAGGGCAGCCGTTACCATAACTGCCTGGGTTCTCCAATATAAACACATCACTAAACATGTGTTTCATATGAACCTCATTTTTAAGTTAAATGAAAAAGAATTTTGAAATGTTTGCCTCTATTTAATACTTAGTTTCACTTTCTGTGAGAGTTGCATTAACTCTCCAAGTTGCTTACAAAACAGATGTTTGTTTGTTTTTTTCAAACTTTGGAAGTCAGAATGGTCTTCTGAAACATTCTTGTCATTTAGATCTACCAGCAGCAATCAATCAGGAATGTACCTGTTTGCAAGGAACTGCTGCATATGAGAATGGGGTATTACCAAAGCAACTTCACATAAACAAAAAGCAATAAGGGTAGAACATAATATCTAAAAGACACTCGTGGCACTTTGCAAGGCACTAAAAAGCTGGTTTTTTTCCCCATCTAGACTGGGCTCCTGATAGTTTGGGTAAACCCTCTGTGTGTGTGGTGTATTCTCAACTGTTATTTTATGCTAATTCTGTTGGTTTTAATTTCAAATGTTCCTATTGTTATTGCTCTTTAATTGTTAACTATGCAGTGTCGTGTATGGGTAGACATATTAATTAGCTGTTAGTTCTGCTATTGAAATTTGAGGAACTGATTTTCAATTTATCAAATCTGTCTTATTGACTACAGGTAGTCTTCAATTTACGACCACAATTGAGCCCAAAATTTCTGTTGATGTGAGTTTTGCCCCGTTTTCGACCTTTCTTGCCACAGTGAATTACTGCAGTTGTTAAGTTAGTAACACAGTTGTTACGTGAATCTGGATTCCTCATTGACTTTGCTTGTCAGAAGTTCTCAAAAGGTGATTCCACAACCCTGTGGCACTGCAACCGTCATAAATATGAGTCAGTTGCCAAGTGTCTGAATTTTGATCACATGACTATGGGGATGCTGCAACAGTCATGTGAAAAACAGTCATAAGTCATTTTTTTTAGGGCCACTGTAACTTTGAACAGTCATTAAATGAACTGTTGTAAGTCAAGGACTACCTGTATATCTAAAATCCATCTGTGCAATATCACGATGCACAAAGAATAGAGGATGGATTTATCTGATGATGGTGTTATGCCTTCACGCCAATAGTCATTCTGTATATCCTATATCCGTGATGGCGAACCTATGGCACCTGTGCCACAGGTGGCATGCCTAGCCATATCGGTGGGCATGCGAGCTCAGCTCCAGTGTGTATGTGCGCACCGGCCAGCTGATTTTCGGGCCTTCTGGGCCCACTGGAAGTAGGGAAACAGGCTGTTTCCTGCCTTCTGAGGGTCTTGGGGGGTGGTGGGGAAGGCCCATTTTTTTCTCTCCCCAGCCTCCAGAGCCTTTCTAGGAGCCTGGGGAAGGCGAAAACAGCCTCCCCCCCCCCGGAGGCCTTCTGGAGGCCAGAAATGGCCCATTTGCCTGGGGAGAGAGAAAAATGGGCCTACTGGGCCCACCATGCCATTGCATGCCAGGAGCGGGGAGCAGTGGGGGAGGGGTCACGCACGCATGCACGGGGCCCATAGAATTATGGGTGTGGGCACGGGTGCGCGCCACATCCCCCCGCTCCTGGCACACGATGGCAAAAAGGTTAGCCATCACTGTCCTATATGGATCCTATTAAACATCACACAATATATGGAAGGACCATGAAAAGTTCAGAAATGATGACTTGAACCTTGAAAGGACATTGGTGTAAGCATTTGGAACCCTTTAAGAATGAAACAATGATCTTCTCAGTTCTTCCTTTTCCTTTTTCTTTTTTAAAAACCCAACAGGGAACTAAAGTATGGTATTCCCATTACAGACGAAAATGGGAACAGACTGGGTGAATCATCTAAAGCTGCTCAACAGGCCATTGTGCAAGTTGTGATTTCAAGGATCCTCATGGCTGCTCCAGGAATGGGTGTGTCTCAACTTGCATTAAGTTTAAATACTGACATTCTTCTAACAATTCTTAAAAATTAGAACTACGGTACTTCTGATACTGTTGTGCTTCCCTCAGGAAAGTAATTGATAGCTCAATAGCAGTCACTCTAGCTCCTTTACCAGCCCTAAGGCTGTAGAGAGCTCTTGTAAGAAACATGTGTACATGTGTATCTCATTATGATGTATCAAAAATCAGTGCTTTTAATCTTGATTAAGATTGGGATTTATAAAATAACACAAAACACTTTGACATTTGAAATATTAAAAAAGAACTTTGAAAAATGGGGCCAGAAATTAGTAGGCACAATATCAACAGGATCAGTAATGATGTCTGCTTCTATGGATAGGCTATGTTTAAAGGATGTTAATGAAAGAATGACAGATGTGAAACAAATCTTGCTTGATGAAAAAATAGTGGAATCAGAAATATTGGGTTTAAAAAGTATGGCTTATGGGAAAGAGAAAGCTGAAAGTGAAAATACTAGTGACAGGAAAAGCAGATGTCATGAATAAGGACTCTTTACTGGATATCCAAAGGAAGCTGGCTGAATTTTTAAAAATGAAAGAGGAAATGCAAATAGTAAACCAAGAGAATTACCAAGTTCATGTCTCTTTATTAAATTTACAAAAGAGGCTTATTAAAGCCTTGAAGAAACTATGCGGTTCTTCATTTTGAAAGAACATTTGAAAAGAGATAAACTCCTACAACAATATTAGAATGTATTAGATATTAAAATTTTCAGAAGTTAGAAGAAACTGTGGCTCAAATTCAAATATTTATTGTAATTTTTATGTAAATTGTCCCTGGGGGCTGACTTTTGGTACACCATACATATATGTTTATTTGCACATGCATACATTATCTATATACAGTACCTATATCCCTCTGTATATATGGAATGTGAAGTACTCTAGCTGGTAGTCTAATATTCCTAAAAGTCTGTTTAATTTCCAGCATTTTAATATGATAAGAATCTTCTGCATTGCTATCTATTATCTTTTCTTTAAGCCACATATACTTGTGGATGAGCCCATCTGCAGACCTTCAGATTTATAATCAAAACACCATCCAAATGCACCACCCACAGATAAGGCAACTCTCAAAATTTTCATGTTTTCTTTTTTCATGTATTCTAAAGGACTTTATTTGTTTTCATATCTTTTACCAATAAATAGTAGTTTCCAGACTAGATTCCATTTTAAATATTCACAATTGGCTTATGTTAGAGTGGCATAGTTTTCATGGAATTTTGGTTTAGCTTTTACCTAAAGTATATATGAATAATTTTAAAAAGTATTGTCATATATAGTCACAGATAATCCAAACCCAGTTTTGAGTGTATTTTGAAGCCTAACATTCTCAGCATATCCGCAAGTATATACAGTGGATATTTATTTGCAAAAAAAGTATAATTCTCTCTATATGAGAGTTATTTATTTAAAAGATTGGTATAGGCATCCATCTTATGCAGCAAAAACCTGAACAACTCATAAACAATAATAAAACATAAAAGACCTTTAAAAAAAACCCATTAGAAACATAAAAGCCAACAATAAAAAACTTACGAGGGGACCAAACACAACTCATCCCCAGACATCCAGAAAAACTTTGGAACTCAATTTTTTATATTTGTTTAGCCCAAATCAATCAAATGCAGGAGGAAGGTATGTTCACTGAAAGATATGGACCATCATCTACCATGCTAGTCTAGTTAAGAATGGTAGATGGACATTTTTCAACTATTAAGTATAGAATTGAGAAGAATGATTGGCCCAAAGTCATCTAGACAGCATCCATGCATAAAGGAAGACTAGGTTTTCTCACTCTTAGTCCTGTAGTTGTAATCATACTTATGTTCCCATATTCATATATAACTACGCACACAGAGAGACAGAGACAGGGGGGGAGGGGAGAGAGAAAGAAAGAGAGTACTAACAATAGGTTACTGTTAGTAAATTCTAGGGATAAGATTTCTTATGCTATTAGAAGTTGCTCTAAGGATTGCTAAGGGATCTGTTCTCTCCTGTCTATATGTTTTAAGAAATGTTTAACTTTTAAGTGATCTGTCAAAATATTTTTATTCCTAAAGCAGCATACAGCATAGCATGAAATTATTAACCACAAAATTTTTGCTTACTGTCTTTTAGCCATTCCCCCGTTCATAATGAATACTTTGGAAAAGAAGGCATTTTTAAAGGTAAACCTATGTTTCCAAAAAGATTTATTTCCTAATCCATTTTATTTTGTTTCATTTTATTTAAAAGGTTTATATGGCTGCCCATCTTAAATAATTGTGAGTGGTTCACAACAGCCATATAACCAATAACTATGAAACCAACATAAAACAATAAAATAGTAGATGATAGTGTCTGAAATATTACAAAATAGCCTCTCAGAAATACATTCCCCATTAATTAATGTTTAATTCCCAAACATTATTATATTTATTTATTTTATTTATTTATTTTATTTTATTTTTATACCACCCTTCTCCTGAAGGACTCAGGGCGGTGTACAGCCAAAGATAAAACAAGTACCCATATAAAATTTAAAAACAATTTAAAAACACATTAAATAATTTTGCCCCGACATCAGTAAAACAAAAAAAACAACTGATTAAAATTAATGTTTAGGCCAACCCAGCTTGTTGGAACAATAACGTCTTGAGGGCATGGCGAAAGGGGCACAGGTCAGGGATCATCCGTATCTCCGGGGGCAATTCATTCCAGAGGGCGAGTGCCCCCACAGAGAAGGCTCTCCCCCTGGGCGTCGCCAGTCGACATTGTTTGACCAACAGTACCCTGAGGAGTCCCTCTCTGTGGGAGCGCACTGGCCGGTGGGAGGCTATCGGTAGCAGAAGGCGATCTCATAAGTACCCAGGTCCTAAGCCATGGAGCACTCTAAAGATGGTAACCAACACCTTGAATCGCACCCGGAAGACCACCGGGAGCCAGTGCAGCTCGCTCAGGAGTGGTGTTACATGGGAGCGCCGTGTCACTCCCAGTGCATTCTGGACCAGTTGGAGCCTCTGGGTGCTCTTCAAGGGGAGCCCCATGTAGAGAGTGTTACAGTAGTCCAGACGGGAAGTGACGAGGGCATAAGTGACCATGCGCAAGGAGTCCCGATCCAGAAAGGGACACAACTGGTGAATCAGGCGAACCTGATAAAAAGCCCCCCTGGCCACAGCTATCACATGATTTTCTAGAGACAGCCGCACATCCAGGAGGACACCCAAATTACGAACCCTCTCTGAGGGGACTAAGATCTCACCCCCAATTGTCAGCGATGGCACCAGCTGGCTATAACGGGACACCGGAAACCACAGCCACTCAGTCTTGGAGGGGTTGACTCTGATGTAGGATGCTTACAATATAGGATGCTTACAATAATTATGTAAGTATGCTGATGATTAATAGCTGTAAAGGACCTTCAAGGCTAGTAATAAAAATCAAGGAACACTGTGAAAATATGGGACACATAAAAAAGTATATAAAGAAGACCAAACTATTGATAACAGGTACAATAATTACCCATAGAATTAACAAGGATGATATCAAAGTGATAAATAGCTTCTGGCTTTTATAATCGACCATCAATACAGGTAGTCCTCAATGTATGATCGCAGTTGGATTTCAGTCGTAACCTGAGACACCCACATGAGTGGATTCGATTTTATGACTGTTTTTAGGATAATGAGTCAAATAGTCATAATTATGAATCCATTCTGCTGAATGGGTGGGGTTTTTTTTGCAAGAAACCATCAAAGAACACCAGAAACTGCCCCCCGTCAAAAAAAATCACAAAACACAGTCACATGATTAGAAAGCACTGCAACCAGTTATAAATGTGAGCTGGTTGCCAAGTGCCTGAAATGCAGTCATGTGACTATTGGAAGGATGGCATGACATTTTACAATGGCTGGAAATGCATTACGAGCTCTAAAGCACCTTTTATGAGATTTCATAACTTCAAAGGGTCAATAAATGACAAGTTGAAGTCGAGGACTACCTGTAGTATAGGAACAAATAATCAATATTCTGCAGATGAACACTTGGAAGAACAGCCACTGGAAGACCTTAGAAAAGATATGAGCTGTGGTAGCACAGTGGTTAGAGTGCAGTACTGCAGGCTATTTCTGCTGACTGCTGGCTACCTGCAATTTGGCAGTTCAAATCTCACCAGGCTCAAGGTTAACTCAGCCTTCCATCCTTCCGAGGTGAATAAAATGAGGACCCAGATTGTTGGGGGCAATATGCTAACGCTTTAAACTGCTTAGAGAGGGCTCTAAAGCACTGTAAAGTGGTATATAAGTCTAAGTGCTATTGCCATTGCTATATTCAGATGCCATGATACTGTTTGTCTATATCTACAAAGATCAGAATCTTGAAAGCCATGACATTCCTTGGTACACTCTATGGAACTGAAAGTTGGAAGAGTATTGATGCTTTTAAACTTTGATGTTGGAGAAGACTTCTGAGAATATCATGGACAGCCAAGAAAACATACAAATGGCTGATAAATCAACCCAGTGTTCTCACTCATAAAAGACCAGGTTCAAATTATCCTACTTTGGATATATTAACTCAAGTTCTAAGTTTCTGGAGAAGATGAATATAGAGTCAGTGTAAAAAAAAAAAGTATTAATAAGGATTATCAGTAAATGTTTTAGACAAAGCATTTTAAAATTACCATAAGTAGCTGTAAAATATGAGTTCATTTATTATTGTCAGAAAATAAATACATGAATACAGTAATTTATTTCAATGTTAATGCTAAATACCTGACGTATTTCTACCTTCAGAAGAGCTGCCAAATTTCTTTTTGCTTCCAGGTTCACACTGTCCATAACTTTTACATTTCTAGTTATTAGAAGATAACACAAATGTGTGTTGTAAGAATTAATAAAAAGAGGATATTGCCATGTCCAGCTAAGACTTCATTGCTTGCTGTGGAATTTAATTAGCATTCTAATTTAGCAGCTTTTACATTTGAACGAACCCATGTTCCATGTCTTTTGACACACTCTTAACTCTCTTTATGATTTTCTGGTCCTCCTCCCTTGTCCATTCTCTGCTTCATTGACTGTAAGTTCAGGTGAATCATTAGTTTTCAGTTAATCATAAGACTTGATATTGATCAGTTCTAAATACATTGAGCAACAGACTGCCCCTTTTTAACAAGCTGTTTGTGCAAGCCCATTACTTGTATCTACCGTTAACAAGCCAGTTCATTAAAGCATTGCAGTCTTCATTTAATACTTTTCCATTACCTAATTATTAACCCCGGAAAAACTGTTCATCCTTTGAAAAAAGGCAAGGATTATGTATTAAAATACATTTCTAGAACCACAATCACAAAAAGAACATCGTTCCTCTTGTGACTTGAAGAACTCCAGCAATTCTTCAGGCAGTTCTTAATCTCATCATTGTAAACCTTATTGGGTATAAATTATACCAAATATAAATTTCAGCAAAATGACAGATGGATCACCTAATGTAAGGTGTGGACAATATCATATTATTGTCATTTGGATCAGAAATTCTAATTGTTTTTAAGTTGCCTGAATAGTTTAATTAAAGGTAAACTTAATCTTAGAAGTAAGATACATCTATTGATTATTAACTTTTTGCAGGGAATGAATTCCCTACATTCTCTACATAGGAAAGGAATGTATGTGATTCATATTTGGGGGGCTTTCTTTGAAATATTTCTAAAACAAAAGCATTAAGGAATTTATCTATATGGTAAAATCAGAGTGCATAATTCTGACACCCATTTTCTCCTGCTGGACTCTAATTTGGGACCCACTCTGCTTTTTTTTGTTTTCCTTGTTGCTTTGTAGCAACAAGAATTGTAAAGTTAAATGAAGCTGACTTTTTTCCCCTTGGATTCTTATATTATCCAGAAGGTATAGGAATTCCTACATGCTTCACATTTAATGTCTGAAAAATGTAAACGTTATTCATGCAAAGTTTATGCCTTCTGAAGAAATATAAAGTAACTGAGCATGTTATACCTTGAGTAAATATGATTGAGGGGGAATATTATAGCTGTCTTCAAATACCTGATAGGATGTTACATTATTTTATAAAGAAATCCAGAATGCAGGACACAGAAGGATGGATTTAAATTACAAGAAAGCAGATTCTATTGAAATGTTGGCAAAAACAGTTATAGAAATTGGACACTGGAACCAAATGTATGAAATAATTGAGATAATTCTCTGCCTCCAAGCACCAGGCATCACTGCATCAATGGCATGTCCATTACAGCCTGGGTAGCAATATACCATTAGGCATTATCAACATACTTATGATATCTTACCCCTGCATTTTGTCAGCAAGATGTTATACAGATGAGTTGTAGGTCAGGTAGAGGAATCTCGAGAATCTCTCAATAAGGAGTTGGTAACCCTAAAAAAGAATGCTGAATAACACCCCTTGGATGCAATAAAGGAGGGAAAATAAGCATGCTTCATCATCTTTATCAACAAAATGCAGCATGTACCCAAGCTTGATAATATTTACTTCTTGTTTTTTCCTCCACCAGTGTTCCAGGAATAATTTCTGGATGTTCATTTCTCAGAAAGCCTTAGTGAACTAAGGTGTCCACCGGGACTAGCCCCAAGAAACAACTCAAGGGTAGTAATATCCACAGCCGAATTCACCTCCTATGATCAGTTGCTCATCAGGCACCAAACAGAGCTGCCCACCAGAAGGCTGGGAAATTCCCTTTGAATCTGCTCCAGGATTCATTAGGTGCCTGACATGGACTATCCAAAAAAGGTCTCACTATCCCATGGAGGTCATGCATGCTCCCCATTGGATGCCTGTTTATTCTCTTACAAACCTTCCTCCTACCTTCTTGTAAATCTCTTGTAAATGTAAATACAAACATTCATTTCCTTCTTGCTATTTATCCCAGCAATGAAGTCATCATTCCAGAGCAGCAGAGTGAGGAAAAGGAAAGTATAGGTGTAGTCTGTGATTTTTTTTTTTTTAATTTAGCAACTGCTTCGGTTCACAACAGAGTTGTTGGTCCAATTGCAGCTGTTAAATGAAAACTACCTGTGCTTTTATACTATAAAAATAATGATGGTGCTTTTTTTTTTTTGAAATTTTATAAAAATACAATTGCCATGTTACAAGCTAGAATTCAGAAGCATCTAGGAGGCTATTGTTGCAATATCCACAATGTTTGTTGCATCAAATGTATTGAAAGAAATATTGAAAGATCCAATATATTTGCCTTCATTCATAGTAAAATATACTCAGTTAAGCCTTCATTCTTCCTATATTTTTTTGTATCATTCAAAGTTTTGTATCCAATAACTCTGTACATAAATTCAGAATGAACCTATCATTTTGCTTCTTTTTTTAACACAGAGGTTCCCATGGATGAGTGCCCCCATTCAAGTAGGATTAGTGGGTTTCTGGTGAGTAAAAATTTCAGAGGTGACTTGTTCATATTTCTCATGCTGGTGTTCACTTTTGTGTCATTTGTCCAGTTTAATCCTTAACTTCATTACATTGAGGAAGATTTTAAGGCAAACCATATAAAGAAAGCAATAGGAAGAGCGTTTACTAAACCAGCTACTGAGAGCATGACCAAAACCATGACGGGAACTTAAATGTATGTTTGACTTCATGAAGATATATTTGGGCTGAAGATATTTGAAAAGCAGAGGAAACAGCCCATCACAGTGTCCACAGCAAGGGGTCAAAATCTGCAAGATAGGCAGTACAACACTAGAGTCCAAGGCCTGCCCTTTTGCACATGTTTTGAGGCCCCAGCATGCAAAAAAAAAAAGGCAGCCATGAATCTGACATCCCTCCACTTACGGTCCTAGATGACATAAACCTAGATGCCATAAGAAATTACTTTCGCCTATGTCCTGCATTACCTAAATCTGCCTCAGACAGTAGTGAGCGTATAAATTGGGGGAGTTAATTCAGGCCATGCTGCTTCTTGAAGAAGCATAGGAAATAAAAATACATTTCAGAACAGTGGTTTTCAACCTGTCATCCGCAGACCCCTGAGGAGGCCATGATGTCATCACAGGGGGTCCACAAAGGCTTGAAGAAATGTTATGATTTAAATCTTGACTTAAGTCTTGGGGGTCCATGGCCATGGTCCATGACCACAAAAGGTATTTAAAGGGTGTCCGTGTTGAAGAAAAGGTTGAGTACCTCAGCTGACTATCTCATAGATGTTGTGTAGCAACTGTTTGTTACAGTTCACAAGAAGTGTCCATGTCAACCCTATTTAGTGTCTTCTCATATCCATCTCTGGTCTCTGACAATCAGCCTTTCAGATGGACTCTGCTTGGTTCCTCTGGGAAGAAAACATTGCCTTTACACAATAGAGCCATGGATGTCAGATGGTTTCAATTATTACCATCCTATCCCTCCAACAATGAGGGGTGTGATTTGCTTATATTGCCTGGCAAGATGCCTATTTTCATAGATTGGTAGTACCATTGTTTCCACTGACCCTACTTTATAATGGGTAATTTTACATCTCTGTTTTTCATTGTGCCATCCTTTTTAGCGATCATCAAACTTTGTTCTGAGACAGCTAAGCAACTGTACCCTTTTCAGATCCACAGCCATACTAACAATTTAAGGATATATCTGTGGCATTTCAAATTCCCCAGCCAGAATTACGCTATTTTTTTCCATTCCCACTTTTGTTCAACATTATTGATCTTCCATCTTCAGAGGAATTCAACCTTTGGAAAAACAGTTTTTTTCTTCGATCACTTTATGAAAGCAGACTTTCCTCCAGATAATAAGTTACCTATTAACCCACGTGTGTGAATCACAAGGAGCATATGAAGAATTTCCCACAATCTGACCTGCCACCCCACTTGGTGCTATCTTTCTGCAGCTTGGCCCCCTCCACAAACCATTCTGTATAGGCGAATAAATAACCCATGAGTGTGAATTCAGTGATGGAAATGAACTGCTACAGTTAAATAACCAGTTCTTATGACATTTGAATTACTATTCAGGTGTTGATGTGACAAAGTGTTATTCCAAGAAGCCAAAGTTGATTCCTCTTAAAATTATCCAAACTCTGAGTACATTAAAAAAAAAAAATACTAACTTTTGTCTTTTCCAGCTTGGTGTTCGCAACACCTCTGTGCTGTGCATTATTTCCACAGAAAAGGTACAGTTGCTTCTTTACTACTTTTCTACAGTGAGAGATATTACGCCATGCAGACTATGAAAATGAGAAATCAGATTTATTGCTTTCCAAAAACAGTCATGTTCCTCACCTCTGGGGAATACAAGTACTTTTAATTCCCCATAACCTGCCCAAATTCAGACCATAGAGGGATGTTTTTCAATCCTAAATACACATTTTCCCATTTCTCCTCTTTTTATCATAACTTTACAATAAACCTTTGTTTGTTCTCCATTTTGTTACTCCAGTAGCAAATCTGCCTTTTGCTCTGGCCCTCCATTTCTCTGGGCATGACAAAGAGACATTCCATAAGTTATCTTTTATAACCTGAATGTAAGAAAAAGAAGAAGAACGTTTGCTCTACCTATAGCTTTTCCAGAGGTTATTTTCATATCCTGATTTTATATATCATATGTCATAAACTTTAATTTTAGCTAAGAAGGCCAGCAATATCATCCATAGAGATTATAAAAACTACATTTTAAAAATTTCAGAATGTTCAAGTTTCAGAAAGTTCAAAATCTAGTGGCTCACACAGTTTTGCACAAACCTAAATTGCATCTCTTTTGCGGGAGCTGCCTTGGTTACCGATTTGCTTCCAGGTGCAGTCAAGGTGCTGATGTATCACCTTTAAACCCTACATGACTTGGGGGCTGGGTTATTTGAAGGACCGCCTCTCCCCAGTTACATCTACCTTGCACAGCAGGGAAGTAGATACGGTGGGACCTTCTCGGTGTGGGCCCCCTCCCTATGGAATATCATCACCCCAGAGATATATTGGCTCCCACACTTTTTCTAGAAGCTCCTAAAGACATAATTCTGTCAGCAGGCCTGGGCTCCCCAGACTGCTATGCAGCTGATAAAGTGGCAAGTCTGGTTGTATTGGATGCCTATCATGGCATGTTGTCATGGAAGTTTAATGTTTTAAGTCTGAGTTGAGCAGCCATATACATTTGTTTAAAAATAAATATACTATGTTGATATATTATGACATCCTAGGTTCTGTGAAGTACCTGAAAGCCAACAACAGCTAGAGAACTGGGAGCTGTGATTTCACATTGTTGTATATATTATAGTACAGTAGCTGAGTAGTTTTTGCAATAGTATTTAAAAATTGCAGCTTTTTTTCACCAGTAGATGGTGCTGTGACACTGAGTGCCATAGTTCTATCTACTGTACTGATAGAAAACATGCTGCAATTTTTCTTTTCTTTTGAAACAGAACATGTCATAACACCAAACTAGAACTGGCAGTAAGGTTAGGAAGTAAAATGGGAAAAAAATAGAATTAAAAATCTAGAAAAGGAGGAAAAAAGCTATTAGGATGAATTGGGGAGAAAGTATAGATAGCATGCTGACGTAAAAAGGCTTGGGAAGAGTCAGATGCAGAGGAAAAAATGGAAAAAAGCACATTAGAAAGAAAGGCATATCAAAGAATTATGAAGCAAAAAAAATGACTGGAGAAAATGTAAAATGCAGCGAATGTAGAAAAACATGGTGAAATCCCTTCCAGGAGGAGTAGCATCAAGGATAGATAAGAGTGCCAGCAGGAGACAGAGGAAGAATAATGAAAGGGTAGATCAGTTTGAGGAGGAAAGACAGCAGAGACATTTTCTGTAAGAAAGAAAATTGGTGAAAGCCTCAGCAGGAGGGAAGGCAGGAGAAAGAATTAGGAGAAAGGAATTAGGGTGGGAATTGGAGGAGCACAAGCTGTTCATAATGGCAAAACAGGAGATAAAAATTGGTGTCACCAGCTGCAGCCGGTTTTTCTGCCTGACTGCATGCAATCTGGAGGCCACCCTTTCTGCACTTGGAGGGGTTCCTCTCGTAAATAAAACCATTCTCCACTGTGCTGCTTTTGTGTCCCAAAGAAGGAGACTTCATGCTTCTGGGATGTCCCTTTGTTTATACCAGAATGGAGATTCACAAGAAAATCCCTTTTCCCCTTCCTTTTCTTTTTCAGCTATCAGGTAAAGCAAGCTTCTCCTCACCCATTCCAAATTCTATATGTTTTCATAACCTTGAGAGAGGAATTGGAGATTGTGAGAAAAATCAATTTGGTCAAATACCAAACCAAACCAAAAAAAAACCCCTAAAGATTGACTCTGTTCAAGCTCAGAACAGAAATATATATCTCATGTCAGTTCTAATAACTTTTATTTCTAGAAGGGGAGACAAATATCTAAGAATATATTTTAAAGGCTTGGTATAATACATGATCTGCTAGCTCAGCTTTCACATACAAGGGAAATCATAATGGTTTGTCCTGTCTGGTACATTAAGATGCCATATCATATAAAATTTATATGAAGATAATTTAGCAAAATAGCATATGAAATATCTTTTCTGTAATTCATGCTGATGATATTGAAGAGAAGCTGTTTGGAAAACAAGTAACTACTATGCCATATTTTAAAGGATTATAAAATGTAAGATATTTCCTAGGGCATATGATATGCAGTAAACAAATGGATTAAGACTTCTTGAGCATGGATAATATGTCTTTATTATTTTTTTTCTTCCTAGTTCCATGTCTGTAACACGTCTGGAGCCAGAATTACAAGCTAAGATCAAAGAAATGAGTCCTGAATTGGATCGGGTATATTTTAACAAAGGATTATGATTTATAGAAGACAAATAGGGTGATTTGTCCTTCAGTTATAGCTAGATGAATTTATTTTAATTGAGTCTACTTAGTTGAAACAATGCAATCCTGATGCATTCTTTCAATTTTTGTATCATTTTGAACACTGAGATTATTTAAGTATCATAAGGAAATTTTCATAATTATGGTTGAAAATTCTGACAATTGTCCAATTCAGCTGCAAATATTCAAAATGGTTTACATTAAGAATTACTTATCAGTCAAAATTTTAATTCCTTTGGAAAGTGTAACAACGTCAAGGAAATCAGACAGTGTTATCTTAAAGTTACGATCTACCTTATTTTTTTTTTCCACTAAAAGAAAGTAAATAACAAATTCATTTCCGCTATTACATTTGTAAATACAATTCAGGTGACAATTATCTATCGGATTACTTCCTCAGAGTCCCAAAGTGTTAACTTTGTGGTATCCTGTTGATAGATGGATCTTAGATTTTCTTATTTCACTTATCTAATGTATGAATGGGGAAGTAATTATGATAGGTGAGCCTATCACTGCAGTACCGAAATATTTCGGTGCTGCAGAAATTTGAAGCCATTGCCATTGCTTATTTATTATTTGACTCCTGCACTTCTAACATAAAAAACTCTATGAAATTGGACAAACTCTGCTCGGATAAAATTCTATTTAGAATGTCCTCAGTTTACTAAAATGAAATAAGGTCACTAAGCCAGAGGTTCCCAAACTTTCTTGGTTCACAGCATCCTTTAGTGTGTCAGTAATTTTTTTCACAGTGCTTCTACTAGTTCTCAAATCATGTACAGGTAGTCCTCAATTTACAACCATTCATTAGGGACTGCTCGAAATTACAACCATGCTGGAAAAAAAGCAAGTGCATTTTTCGCACTTCTGGTGTGATTTTTGTCACGTGATCAAAATACGGACACTTAGCAACTGCTTCCTATTTATGGTTGCAGTGTCCCAGGGCCATGAGTTAACTTTTTGCGACCTTCTGACAAGCAAAGTCAATGGGAAAGCCAGATTCACTTAACAACCGTGTTGCTAACTTAACGACTATAGTGATTCACCTAACTGTGGCAAGACAGGTTGTAAAATGGGGCAAAACTCATTTAACAACTGTCTTGCTTAGCAATGGAAATTTTGGGCTCAATTGTGGTCATAAGTCGAGGACTACTTTTACCCTCGACTTACAACCATTCATTTAGTGACCAAGTTTGCAACAGCATTGAAAAAGGGGACTTATGTTTTTCATATTTGCGACCATTGCAGCATCACCAAGGTCACATGATAAAAATTCAGATTTTTATCATGTGATAAAAGCTTGGCAACTGATTCATATTTATGATGGTTGAAGTGTCCTGGGTCACGTGATCCCCTTTTGCAACCTTCTGACCAGCAAAGTCAATGGGGAAGCCAGATTCAATTAACTGCTGTGTTACTCATTTAACAACTGCAGTGATTCACTTAACAACTGTGACAAGAAAGGTCCTACAATGGGTCAAAACTCACTTAACAAATGTCTCACTTAGCCATCTAAATTTTGGGCTCAATTGTGGTTGTAAGTTGAAGACTAACTGGTACTATGGCACCCGGGTCAGTTTTTAATTAGTAAATAATTCCATGGTGTTGTTTCTTAAGTAATACAATATCAAGTTATTAATTAGGTAGCAAAATACCCCATGGTGCCCTGTGAATTCACTGCAATGCTCTGGGATGCCATGGTGCACTGTTTAGGAACCATGGCACTAAGCCATAAAATAAGCAATGAGAATATCTGCTATAAGTGATCTTGTAAGTCAAGTCTTGAAGCCTATCCAAATGTTGAGCAAGGCATACTCCTGTCAGGACAATACTACCTCCCTGTGTGTGTGATGCATCACGAAGATGGCAATTATGCCCTGCACATACAAAGCCAAAAACATTAATTCTCCTAGTTTAAGAAAATGCTTTCTTGGTTAACATTTTAATCAGCTTTGCATCCAGCCGCAATGGACAGGAATATCTTATGAATTTATAATGGCTTGCAGTCATTGTGCACTAATGCGCAACTGGTGACATTGGCCAAATTCTGCAAAACCTCAAGATCTTGAATTTATACTTTTCATCAGTACATTTCTGTGGTCTTATCTATTATGTTTCCCCAGAAATGAATAATACATATTATAAGATCATGTTCTCATATTTGATGATTCTCAAATTCATGAGATAGTCTGTTAAATACATAAAAACAACAGACGGCTAAATACTATTTTCAGAATGTGCTGCTTTATTTTATTTTTTATTCCCAAAGGAGGTGCTATACAGCAGTTTTTAAAAAACATGGGCAAAACATGTATTTATAGCATTTTTAATCGATTTCCTACTTGATTTCTGCTAGTTTGCTATATACTGTACCTATAGTAGAACAATCCTGTGCAGTAGGGTGCTATTGTTTCTCATTATAAAGACATGAGAAAACAGATCATAAAATAGTGACTTCTTAAAGGTCACCTGGAAAGTCTAATACTAAGTTGAACCAAAGTCCTGATGCAAAGTTGATTGAAACATTTTAATTATTCATTTGGTACAAATTCTGAAAATTGTTTCTCTGAATGTTTCCATTGGAATTTCAGCATGCCTGATAAAACATAGATTAATGATATTTACTATTTAATGTACCTTCTCCCATGTGTAATATCACATTGGAGACCTTTGTACTGGTTTGACTAGATCTAGTTCTGTACTCAGTGAAATTGCTATTCAGGATAAACTTTGGCCTTTGTATATATCCAAAATAATATAGTATACACAGTTAGTAGACCACTTAGAGCATAGCTAATACCCAGATGTATTAGACAGAATATAATCTATTATTATTATCATTATAAAACATTGCAATGTGCCATATAGCAGAAGTTTACTTAGTGTCAGATGATTCTCAACTTGGAATGGAAAGGAAAAAAAATGAATGTTTTATTTGAACACCTACTTTACAACCCCTAAGCAGTTATATTTGCAGCTGGCAGTTTATCTTGAGTTCCTCAAGATAAAACAAAGAACAGGCCAGCATAGCATTGTCTAATTTTCCACACAAACATACTCACAGGAAAATTAGCTAACTGGGTATATTGTTCATGTCAGATTACGATGAGACTCTTAGCTAAAGTCTTGGTTTAAGTATTAGTTATGTTATCTGTTCTGCTGGTGGTTCTTCTAACAAATGTGGAAAGGATTTCCTGAATTGAGAGAAACTGCCTCCAAGACAAAATTGTTTATAAGCTTGGTTGCTGTTTTTAAAGACTTATGTGTCTCCTCATACAGCTCTGGATTTTGTACTGCCTGTTTAGGTTACATCCAGAAAGTTTGCACTTTCCAGTCCATGTCATACTCTGATATGAGTGGCATACATGAAAAATATCAAAGATCACTTGCCTTTAAACAGAAGTGGTGTGGCAAGAAGTAGTCTGCATGTGATGGGGAAAGGAAGGGGAATTTTGCAGCCTAATAACTGTGCCACCTACCTGTACTTTGATCTCAGAGATTTCTGCCAGTGCAGATATCAATTTTACAACCATCTGATTATATCATATCTATTCAGCAATTGGACCCCATTTTGTTAAGAAGGGGTTGATTTCTTCATCAAGAGGTGTAGGCTGCAATTACTGACCTTGGTTCCTTAGCAAAATAATGGCAATAATTATTTTTGAAATGTGAACTTTAGTTAATTGCTAGTAATTATAGTTCACAACTAAAGAAACTACAGGAAGGAGATTAATGATGCAGTCATCTGTTTAAGGACAGGGATTTTTTTGAGAGAGATTTCTGCAACGGTCCAGGAGATGTGCTTCGTTGATATCACTTGAATATATGTCATGTGACTTCAGTCTGCTTAGAAAAACTGGGTATTCGCATGTGGCATGCTTAAAATAATATAGCCTAGAGCACAACAATCTTTACTTGCGTATTTTGTTTTCTAGGATTAAAAAATATTCTTTTATTCCTGGAATACACATATTTAAAACAAATTAAGTATCAGCAGGTTTTTGTTCATTTTTTTAAACAGGAAAACTGTACATTTTGTTTTCTTTGTAATGTTTAGCAGAACAAAATAAAATTAGAATCAGGAAATTTATACTGATCTAGTAGAAATGTTTCTTTTTTTAAATTTCCAATGAAGTGCAATAAGGATACAGAATTAATTAAATGAGTAACTATTAATATTGTCCAATTTTAGAAAAAGAATATGGATTATACTGTGATTCGCATACTTTTTCAATACGAGTATTAGCACATTATCTTGCCAGAATTGATGGTATTGCTTAAAATCAGTTGGATGAGATATTAAAATTGATAATTAAAATGTCATGCTCTCTGTGTGAAATGTACTTTCAATAAACTTTGTATTTGAATAGGAATACATAAGAATGAGATATATGCATTATAAAGGTATACATGAAAATCAGTTGCAGTTTTCTCCTTAGTTGTAAAAAGAAAAAAAATGAACAATTGCAACTAAAATTCACATGAAAATTCTGCAATTTATACATATTTGAAATTGAAGTATAATACTGTATCATTTGGCACATAGCATACAGATCAGTACGTCCATTATAGAAGCATCATTCTTTGGAATTTCCCTCGTCTCTCAGCTGCAGTTTTAAGTTTCCTTTTTTTTCCCCCTACGGAAATAATGTAGTTACTCTTCTTTCTGGAAGACCATGCTTTTGGATAAAAAAGTGGATTAAAATTATGGAACTTGATTGGTTAACATTAATTTTTAAGCAGCAGAATCTCTAATTTAAGGTTCATTTTGAATGGTGATTACACCATTTACCTGAAGTTCTAATATGATATGAAGCCCTCAGTACATATTCAAAAGTTCTTTTTAAGTAATTAGAATTCTAGCAAAATCAGTGATATTTAATCTTTCTAACCACTCTATCAAGAAACATTCATCTAGATATGAAATTCTTTTTTCAGAGTAATATTTGTACATCTATGGACAATCCGTTATTATTTTTGTCATTTAGTAGAAATTCCCAAGATAGTATATCGGCCTTGACTTCTGGATCTCATTTGTGCTACAGGTACCACTGGGAAACACTGGGAAAAACCAATCTGTCTCTTTCTTAACAATTGCTATGGAGTGTGATTACACCATTTACCCTGTATGAACAGGGAAAAAATATTACTCCATGCCAGGTGCACCTTAATTCATGAAAATTCAATTTTAAGATATGCATGCAGGAGGGAGGGATGGTTAGGAAGAAATTAATTTATTCTGTTCATAATTTGGAAGGAAAACAAATGCCACATTTGCAAAGGAATTGCTGTGAGATGGAGAGCCAAGTTGATGTATCATGCTTTTTTCCCCAATGCTGATCCAATGTTTCCCTTTGGAGAGCCTCCAATGCTCAAACGCTTCTCAAACTCTGGATGCTCAACGCTGTAGGTATTATTGAGGAAGAACACTAGATGGCATTATTTCCCACAGCATAACCTTCCCACAAATCTCTTTTATGGCATACTGTTTTTCTGATTTCCCCAGTCACTTAAGGAAATAATTCAGAGTTATTACTTCTAATTCTGAAGGCCTGATTCCTTCAGCCAACATACGGATTCAAGGGTGAAAAATGAATGCAGCACCAAGACTTTCTTTTACTAACTTTAGCATAGGAAGCATCCAGCCCTATGCATCTATTTATACTTCATAACTTTACAGTGCAACTATGGAGGATTTGAGTGCGGACCTGAATTTACCATCTTAAGGATTTAAAAAAAAAACAAAAACACTAGCATAATAAGAAAGATGGGAGGATTGGCACAATTAAAAATTGAAACCTTGAATGTTGTTATAGTGTTATATCTCAGTAGTTGGTGCCAAAGTTGTTCCTTTTTTGAAGACTGTACAGCAGAGGCCTTCAAACTTGGCAGCTTTAAGACTTGTGGGCTTCAACTTTCAGAATTCTCGTAGTCTGAGAATTCAGCATGAGAATAGCATAGCTGGCTGGAGAATTCTGAGAGTTGAAGTCCACAAGTCTTAAAGCTGCCAAGTTGGAAGACCCCTGCTGTACAGCATATACAAGCACCAACCCTACCACAACCACCACATTTTAAACAGTTGTACTTTTTTCCCCCATCAATTCTTTACAGGTTCCTGGATCACTGAGTTTCATTTTCTATTCCTTTTTAATTTCCTGATTGATATTAGACATTAGTCATGTCTTCAAGGACTACATGTTTTAACCTAGTACTGTGGCAGATCCATTTTAAAACAATCTATCTTTGAAAGTCATTAGATGGCGGCTGAATGTATGCAACCTAGCTACTTTGCGATGGCATCACTTAATGCAGTTGAAATGCTATTAAGGATATTTTAAAAAAAAATTAAAAAAAGGTAAGTGCCAGAACTATCGATGCAATCTGAGCTCTGACTTTCCAGAGAGCAAGTTAGTGAAGAATGGCAAATGTTGCAAAGTAAAGGCAGAATTACTAGGCGCTGGACTTACTTATTTCATTTAGCAAATTTATAGAGCCTCCCATTTCATTTAAAAAATGGCTTTGGGCAGCTTACAAACAGAATAATAATTAAAACCATATCACAGTATAAAAGCTTCAGACATAAATAGCAAAAATAAGGAATAAAAATATAAAGGAATAAAAACATAAAAGAACTCCAGGAAAGCAGGAAAACCTCATATGAGAACATTGAGAATTGCCATGGTATCCCTAGGATTAATGAAAGAACTATGGTTTCAAGGCTTTCCAGAACCTCAGAGGCAGTAGACCTAATCTCACATCAGGGGAAATGATATTCCAGAGGGTGGGGGCCAGTGGTGATATTCAGCTGGTTCTATCAGGTTCAGATGAACCGGTAGCGGCGCTGCAGGAGGCTCTGCCCACCCACCCAGACATCATCACGTTCCGGAGATACGCACACACTCACATTTGTGAACCGATAGCGAAGGTAAGTGAATACCACCCCTGATGGGGGCTACAAGCTAAAGGGAAGTCCTTAGAAGATGGGACCCAAACACCAGCTAGAGGGAAGTCCTTAGCAGATGGGGCCCAGATGGGACCCACTTCTTCTGGGTGGACCAGATGGGATGGGTAAATGTAATTGGGAAAAAACAGTCCCTCATATAACCTGGCCCATGCCATGTAGATCTTTAAAAATCAAAACTAGAATCTTAATTACATCTAAAAGCAAACTGGCAACCAATGCAGTTTGCAAAGCAGAGGTTCAACATGTGCCATCCTAGAGGTATACATAACTGCATTGCCACTTTTTTTGACCAGGTGAAGCTTCTAGATAACTCTTCAAGGGCAGCCTCAGATAACATTAGAGTAATCCATTCTGGAACTGACCAGGGAATGAGTAACAGTGAGTAAAGCCTTAGGGCCCAGGAAGGGACGCACAACATGAAGCTGTGCAAAGGCCCTCCTAGCCACAACTGCCACTGAGCAAGAGTCCCAAGATTGTACACCAAATCTGTCTGGGGTTGTGCAACTCATCCAGTACTAAAGATGGTAAGTTCCTAGGTTCATGAGGCTCCAAATCCCTAAGTCACTCAGTCTTGCCAGGGTTCAGCTGAAGTCTGTGGTTTCTCATTCAGACCCACCCCCCCATAGCCTCCAGATGTCAGGATAAGACATCAATGGCATTGCTTAATTTGCCAGAGGTAGAGATACATAACTGGTATCATAGGCATACTGATGATACCTCACCCAATGGAGATGAATAATTTCACCCACCATTTGCAGATTAAACAAGGAGCTATGTTTATGCATGTTAGATCAGGGAAATCATTCATTCATTATTCATGCATATAAACCACTTCTATGTGGCATACATTCCTTATCTGTAACAACAAAACAATAGCAAAACCTGCAATTGAATATGTTTGAAGCTGCTCTGGTGGATTTGACCAAGAATTCCTCTTGGTTTTAAAACCAAGAAGGTTTTAAATTCTTTTACCCTTTGACTTTTCTTTGACCCCATTTAATGCCCATTTCAATCATGAACTTCACCAGCTGAGCTTCAAAGGCACATGTTGCACAAAATACCTCATTTGTTTCCTTTCCTCAATGTTTCCTGAAGAGTTTTGTTATCTGTAGAAAATGTGAAATTTAAGATTTTGAGAAGAAAACACTATCTTGGGGTTTTAAGTAATGTTTGAAACTAAAATTGCTTTATATAAGGAAATTTTAGACTAGAATAATAAGCAGCATTTAAAAAGAACAAGTTTTTTTGGTATAAGAGCTACCCTTGCTTTCTTCATTTAGGTACCATCTAAGAACAAAAGAAAGCTGATTTTACTTCTCTGAAATCTTTGCAGCCATATCCCAAGCCAAATCAACATGCTACACAATCCCATCTCTGCTTCTACTGATGGTACCACTCATTACAGGACAGCAAAAATCGTTGTCCTATCTTTTCCATGGGACACATATCCTCAGATGTAGCTGGCTGAAGAGCACCAATATGCCCCATTTAAGCCCCTTCCAGCTACTCATGAACAAGACACAGTGAGATGAGTATCTCAGTGGCTATCCCTCCAGTCAATCATGGCAGAGAACTTTCATTTCCTACAATGTCTTTGTGTTGCTCTAAGATTCTTATGAGGGAGTTGCAGTGGTGGGTTGCCCCCGGTTCACGCCGGTTGTATAGAACCGGTAGTAAATCTGGCGGGAGGCTCTGCCAACCAACCCCGACGTCATCAAAATGCTTCTGGGAAGTTGGCTAGTATTTCTCCCAACAACAGCAAACCAAATACGTCCTGTACTCACCTAGACAGACCAGAAAATTCCAAAGACTTTGAACTAGCCACGCTATAAACACCATTGGTACTCTGAAAGTTCCTCAAGTCTTTCTCAGTAGCAAGTAACTATAACATCAATTTACTATATCTTGGGTATCCATGTGCATCTTGGTTAAATACCATGGCCTTCTCCCATACAGTGTAAAATAATGCCTCTGACAGTGAAGTTATCAGCTGCTGTCCAATATAGACACCTGCTTCCTTTAGCTGGACAGCTGGGATCATTTTCATGCTTTCGGTGACCCTGCTGAAAGTATGTAATCTTAGTATAAACTGACATTCTTCACTCATTACTCCCAGGACCAGTTCAATCTCCACCCCACTGAGCATCACTGAATTAATGATATGTATTCAAAATGCAATAACATTCAGAACTAGAAAAAGACAGGTATAAGAAAATATTACACCTGATTTGAGGAATAAGATTGGGGTTATAGCCCCCCCCCCCAGGCAGCTCAGATGAGACACACCATACTGAGGGACATTTCCTTAATTGACATATTGTAAGATGATTTATCGTATTATATGCTTCGCTTTCTCCATTACTATGTTAATTAGTACTGCTTTTCTTACAAAATGGCTGCTTCAACCAATCTATTGATAGGTAAGTAATTGGGGATAGCCAGATTATTATAATCATAATGGGAAGCAATCTAAATTATTTTACATACAGTTGATACATTCATACTTAGACATAACTATAACAACAAAACCAACAACATAAGATTTCTTCATGGAGGAAAAAGTAGGGAACTGGTGAGGGGGAAAAAGCAGAAAGGAAAAAATCAATTTCTTATGATTGCATTACATTCTTTCTAGTCCATGTCTCCATGGGTCTCTCCTAAACTTCTTGGGCACCTTCAAAATATCTATGAGCATGGTGGCAGACCTTTCAGTCTATGGGACATATTATGAACTTTCCCTAAAACTCCCTGGTACATCAACATCTCATTGACCTCATCTAGCACAAACACCTTGGCAAACCTGAATGAAAGATTCTTTCTTTTTAACCCCCATCCCAGTAATGACAGGGAGAGCTTCCATGTGTAGCTCCTGAAGCTCAGCCTGGACTTTTGTTTTCTATATATGGACATAGCAAAAAGGCCATATGCTATTTATCAGAGCCATGATTACCTTTTGGACCCACTGAATTTTTTATTTATTTAGTTAGTTAGTTTTGGTATTTAGCTTAACTTGCTATGCAAGAAAGATTGCAAAAGTGTGTCTAACCAGGCTTGGGCACCACTGATAGAAGGAAGAATGACTTGCTGTTGAATGGGAAAGTTTTCCCAAAATCCTAAATGTAGATTCCTCTCAAGAGTCTGGCAAGTTCTTATTAAGTCTGCCAGTGATATCATTTCAAGTGTTCTTAATTATACCAATGGGGTTAAGGGCCATTGTTTCTAGATCAGTCCTTTTCACTCACAGACTTCTCTGGAAGTCCTTCTTTGATGCTAATAATGTTCTATAGGAGCTTGTTGCCAGAATTATGTTACCAATGAAAGGCAACAATGCAGAAGGGAGCCTGCAGAGTTTGTAAGTTAATAGCTATATTATTAAACTTTCTGCTATCTTATTTATTTTATTTCATTAATCAAACAACAGGTAGGAGTTAACCTCTTAACTAGAAGGTTATAGTGGCACAGTTCAAACATCATGCTAATTTCAAAAAGAACAAGCCATGTTATGTATGAATTCTGCCAGTCTGTCACAGAGAGCATTAATTTCCCTGATCTTGTAACCATCCCCATAAAACTTCTTTTTCCATATGCAAATGATTTTAGATTAAGTGTACTGGGTTTTTAGAGCATTACAATTGCATTCAACAATCCCATTATCAGGAATAACCAGAGGCATAATAAACTCCCAATGAAGACCAATGTGAGGGAAGGAGGTAGGAGGGAGTATTGAGCTCCATCAAATATTCATAAGATCCTTCTGTGGACACAGAAGCCAAAGGCAGGGGTTCATATAAAAAAATAAGAATATTTAATCCATTTTATTTAGAAAGATGGAAAAACAATGTCATTTGCGGTCCCCTGCTTCTTCTGGGATAGTCCTTGAATGCGACTTGGAAACATTGATTTTTTATTGATTTTGTGCCAACTCAGAGTCCACTAGCATAAACTGAGGGAAAATTACTGTCTGTTATATCAGTTTTATGAATTTGTTTCCAAGTCCAGTTCAGGTATTATTATCTTTAAAGCTCTGCACATTTTAAATCTTAGAGATCCACATTGTAACATTACATAATTGAGATTGACTCCCTAAATCTTCCAGGGAGGTTTTCTTCCTTTCCTCTTTAACCAAAAGAAATATAATTTCGAACTATATGATTAACAGCCATAGCCATGCTTTGGAATGCTCTGTCAAAAATAGATTTATTCAGCCTCCTCTCTGATTAGTCTGAACCCCTGCCCCCTCCCTGATGGCTTCATAGGGCAATTTCACTCTGGATTAACTGGTTGACTCCTAGTGCTATTGAAGAATATATCCCTGGGCATCTTTTTATTAACAAAGGGACTGCTGATCCCAAAACATCCAGTTTGGATGAGGAACACCCACAGTGGTACCAATATACCCATGGAGCTTTCTCTGTGCTTACAAAGGGAAATAGGTGCCAGGAGGAATGGAGTGCTTATTAATGATGTGGTTCTTTGCTAGAAAAGCAGATCTAACACTTCTTCACCTCTTCCTTCCAATGGTCATCCAAGATGGTTGTGTCTTGTAATGTTAACTCTTTCTGCTATATAATTATGGAGCATACTGTACGGGTCATATAAATGCAAATTGTAAAGCTCTAAGCAGAAGAATTAAACAATTATGTTTTACTATTTCAAACCGTCCCAGAATAGTTTAATATATAGTTTAATTGTTGAGAGTTAGATAGACTTATAGATATATAGATTTCTATATTTTGACACTTTTGGTCTGTAAAGTTTAATCTGATTTTTTTCCCCCTCATTTTTGACATGCTGCTTAATCTGTTGTGTTTTTTAATGAACTGGCTTCTCTGCTCTTTGCTCTGGATATTTCAAGGGTTTTATGGTTCTTTGTTCTATTATTTTTCTTACCTGCATTGGATGGAATATTAAAACCAAAAGGAAATTATATATCCAGTTTCCCCAGACCAAAACAACCTGGAAGTGCTGGACTCCAGGTCCCATTGTTCCCAGCAAGCATGCACATTGACCTGTGACAGTTTTCAATTCATCCTTCCAAAGGACTCCAGGCTGGGGGTGAACTGGATAAGTAAAGGCAGAACATTCAACCTACAACTGCAAGCATCCACACCAAAATGTGAATGTGTGTCATGTTTATTGTGTAGAGGCAGGATGGAGGATTACGGCCCAAGGCTACCATCATTCTCCATCCCCATATCCCATTCTATTTATCTTAAAAAAAACCCAAGAAAGTTCATCACCATCGCTGACAAACCTTTGAAATGACTGTGGCCTTTGCTCTGACTTTTCCAGGGTTGAATTAGCACTTATCCGATAAAAGGGCCTCGGTTTCCCCTTCGTAGGAATGAATATTATGTAGATCCCTGCCCCGACCTCCTTGAATAAGTTAATTTACCTTTCTCTCCTCCCCATCAATAACATCAGCAGCCTGTGAAGTGATTTGTTTGCCTGTCAAAGGCAGCTTTTCCTCATCGTAACCACCCTCTCCAGTTTCTCTTTCACCCTCCCCATCTCTTGCTTCCCCGCCATCTTTTATGGCCGTTGCCATGGCACCCAGGGAGAGCTAAGCACCGCAGCAGGGAAGGGGAGGAGGAGGCCCGTGCTGCAATTTCCAGTCTGTTTCCGTCCTCCCTGAGCTCATCACCCTCTTCCTCCTCCTCTTCCTCCTCCTCCTCCAAGGAGGGAGGTGGCCGAGGCTCCAGCTCTTGCTGCTGGGTGGGTGGATTCCCTCCTCAGCCGAAGGAAAGGGAGGGGGAGCATCTGCTGATGGTTTGCTGGGAAGCAGCCTTGGTGGAGGGGGAAATGGATCCAGATCGCCCCTCCCTCACCTTTCAGCTCTCTTCTTGGCTTCACTCTGGTGAGTATCAACCATCGGCCCCTCCTGGCACCCTTGCTGCTTTTTCCTGCAGCTGCCATCATCTGAGTCTAAGGGCCCTAGATTTGCAGTTCTTCTGGGTGTTAGCATCCTCCCCTCGGAACAATGACTTTCATCTAAGCTGCTGGAAAGGAGGAGAGGAAGAAAAAAAGGGGAGGGGATGTGGTGTGAGAGGGAAGGAAAAGGAAGATGGAGAGGGATGAAGGCTGCTGACAAGCTGTCTCTAGTAAAGCTGAATTGTAAGTATCCACCGGCAGATGGAGGGGATGCTTTCTGTTGAAAAACGAGATGCTTGCCTGTCAGTCTGGGAATGCAGACATTTCTGAGATGGGTTTTCATTCCTCCTTTTAATTCCCTGACTGTTGGGCTGGGCCTCCGCGAAATACAATTTGCTGGCAGCAGAGATAGCCATAAGCCAGCAGTCGATTGCATCCATGATTGATTTCTGGGTATAGTGTGTGTTGGATGGTTAAGTGTATTAAATCCATGAAGTGCATTGCCAAAAGACTTGGGTGGGATGCACTTTCTGCATAAGGATCCGTACCTGCATGTGTGTGTGTGAGCCTCACACACCTGGCTCTCTTTGTAGCATCTACATACGAGTGTATTTAAAGCCATGATGGACTGACAATGCATTCCACTTGGGCTGATAGAAGGGATTGATAGTGACTTGGTTTCATTTCAGCCACAAAGGACAGATCTATATTGTACATTCAGTACCATGTACAGCACTAATTCACAGCCTCTGTTTCTTGACTGTCATGTCTATTCTATTGCCTCCATGTCCAGCTCATAGATTTCCCATAGGCATCTGATTCGCCTTTAGGGGAAAGAGCATTCTTAGTAAGAGAGCTTTCACTTGATGTCCTTTACGGAAATACTAAGGTACTGAATATTAATGCTACTGAGTTGTTGTTTTTTTCAGACAAAGTGTAACATCAATCCATATCTAATTGCCCACCATTTTGATATCCCAAATCTAATTCCGAAGAATCAGATAATTATTTTTGGGCAGATTCTCTTTTCCACTGTTTAGGTTAAATTCTATCTAAATATATGCATCTTCCTCAAGTTTACAAAGTAGCCTAGTATGTAAGAATCATTAATTTGAATTAATAATTTTGGTTTTGATCATAATCAATTATAGGTTGTAACTATTGTCACTGGGTAGGTTTCTCATTCTTGTTTTGCTAACAAAAATGAATCTAAATGTCAGCATTAAAGTAATGAATTTAAAGTATTAAGGTAGTATTAATTTAACAAGTAGGTCCAAAATGTATGACAATATAGATTTCAGATTGTATTTCACACTTCTGAAAATGCATGGGTACATATCCATAATTCATTTTACACACACACACACACACACACACACACACACACACACACACACACTTTCTATAAAATTACAGTACATGATTTTTAAAAGAGATTTATTATATGCATCTTTTAACTAAATCGACATGGATTTATTTATTGATTTGATTTATAGATCCTCTTTCCTTCAAGGTGCATATGTGATGGAAATTCCATGACAATACACACTATAGCATAACCTCCTCCTATTTTTTCCTACAGCAGCAACCCCATGAGGCATGTTAGGTAGAGAGACAGCAACTATCCCAAAGCTACTCAGTGAGCCTCAGTATCTGAAGGTGATGGTGACTTATGGCCTCTCCATTGCTTAATCACACCATACAGGTGCTTTAATCTGAGATTCAAGGTGCAAGTGAGGGGGAAAAAAACCCTAACAGCATTACATATGGGTGTCTTGTAACATTACTGCCCTTTATTTGGGTGATTGGAGGTCCATTGGGCTGAGAGAGTAAATATATGTGATTGGCTCTAAAATATTTAGTAAGCCGATATTAGAACCTGGTTTTAGCCAGTGTTAGTCAATATCATATTTATTCCATTGATTCAAAATCTATTCTAAAAGAAGTCAAATCAGTATGTAGATTCAAGGAGGATATATTTGGCAAATGAATCTGAGATTGGCTTAGAAAGTCAGTTTATTAAAATAACATTCCTTTGTTGTCAGTGATGTAGTGAATGCTCTAGTAGACCACTGAGCGTGCAGAGGAGAACCATGTCAGGCAATGAATAAATAGGACAAAATATGATCAGAAAATCTTCTCTCCAGAACATGAATCTTTATGCAATACACTATGTTTGTAGGAATATCCTCTAAAATGGAAAGTGTGAAAATGACAGTCACAGCCAAGGGATAATTGTGCAAAGAGGTTCAACAGACAGTCAGGGCTGGCTATGTAGTTGGCAAGTAAAGATAGATTTATTGCACTCCCTACCCAGTGCAGGAATGAAGCTCATGCTGGAAAGGCATAATAAAGGGAAGAGAGATTTCCTTCATATTCTAAGATTTGGGTCCAATTTTCCTCTGACTGGAAGTAACTGGAAACATACACACATGGACACACACACACACACACAGAGAGAGAGAGAGAGAGAGAGAGTATTAATGTAATTATATAATTAATTTCCTGTAAAATGTGATTCTGAAGGGAAATGTGATTGTTCCTCCACTGTTATTGGGGGGGGGGGATATGATTCCATCTATGCAACGATATCTAATGCCTGTTGCTTGCATTGTGAATGATATATTTATGATAAGCCTAGATGTCATTCTTGATAGGAATGCCCATGACAGTGATGTTATTGCAACTAGTGGCCACCAACTTTTACTCACCAAATCAATAGGCTGTAGCTCAATGCTACTATTCGACCAGGTACTATTGGGAACCAAAGGTTTGTTCAACTGGGATTGGTACCTGGTGGCCATTTTTACTACAACACTGCAGAACAAACAATATGGTGGTTGGCCAATGCCAGGCACAGCTAGATGGCCACTCAGCAACCAGCCCATTATAGTACCCATGATGGCAATCTTTCCTGAGGAATTCATATTACTGCTAGGGCAAGCAGTTCCCATTTCATGTAGGCGGGGAAAGTGTAGTGAGTTAAATGTGTGATGGAAGGCAAGGCAAATGTCAGCTTTTAGTGAGCTCTGCTGGGTCATAGAGGCCCTTGCAGCTGTTCATCATAAATGCTAATTCTAACCTGAAATTGGCTGAATGTGAATGTGTGTTGCTTCAGCTGTAATTAAAAAAATACTTTGCAAGAGACTAAGCAAAAGAATGACATGAACTTCTCTTTTAACATTTGAAGAGCATCTTCAAGAATCACTCCACGAGATGGACAGTTCTATAAAAGAGATACATACATACATACATACATACATACATACATACATACATACATACAATCTTGAACTGAAATTTTCCTATTGTCCCAGATGCCCAAATAAAACAGAAGATTAAAAAAATGGCAGGAAATGGCAATGATAGCATTCCTTTTGTAGTTCTCAATGAATGCCATTGCCATTGTTACTTGGGATGTCCTTACAGATAAGCTTAGGACTGTCATCTTTTTAATGATCACATTTTGTGACATAAATTTAACAGAAGAAAGAGGAAATGCATTTTTTTCAAAAACTGCAGAAAGTGTCAACCAATGGATCTAGGATGAGGAGTGGGCAACCTTTCAGCAGTTCTTTACTTTTTTCAGGGACAAACTCCCTGAAAAAGCAATGGTACAATTAGATTCGGTCATTGGGGAACATCTGATATTTTATGGATTTGGAGATACGTTAAGCCTGAGTTAAGAATTATAGTACATTAAAAAACTGGCAAAAAACCACAACATTATTTTTAAATCATCATACACCAAAATACAATGGCACAGCTAGGCAGGACTCTTGTGGCTACTGGAGCACTGCGGGTTAAAATAGATCAAGGGACGCAATTCCCTGGCCCATGGAAAAAATGCAAAATGTAAAGTTCAGAACCCAGCCAGACTTCATATAGGAGTATTATGATGACTTAACAGCATCACCTGTTGAAGCCAAACTGAACCTTTGTCAACAGGGGAAAAAAAACCTAATACATTTATGGAGTAAGCTATTAATTTTTGCAGTTGTAGGATTAAAGTGCATGTACTGTATTACCAAGCAGATTAATTGAATTTTAAAAAATTAATATCTGTTTCTCCTCTCTCTTCCCCTCCCCCCCTACTGTCTTTTATGCGCCAAGTGGCATTTCTAGTTAAGAAGGAGGGATAAAGTGCACCTTGGCTATTCTATCCATAACAAGGTTTCTCCTGTATACAGCTGTACATACCCAGTGCATATTACAAATTTGTCAGCATTTATAAAAAGAACCATAGTTCTTTTTCCAAAAGTGTCCAAATGTGGACAATATATTTGTTTTGCTTTTGTCTCTGTGGAATAGGGGAAAAAATTACATCTGGTTAAAAAAGATGCATAAAAGACATTTTCTTTCTTTACTGCTGAGATGGGCAGGCACATAATTTCAATAAAGAAATAAAATTATTAAGACTATGATCTATTAGGGAAAACATGTTATATATTAACTTTAAAGAAACCAAATTCTAGAAAGGTTGGCTAAATTCATGACATTCAAGTCTTGAAAATATATGTAACATGACTAACAAAATCAGCCTCAAAATAACAATCAATCTTTTAAGGCCCATCTGGGCATTTTATTTCATTAGGCACTGAGTAACTTTACTTCTTTACAATTTTGTTTATGAAATTGCTCTGCTTTACTGTAAGTCACATGAGCTCATATTTTTACCATGGAAAATACAACAGCAGAAAAATGGCAAGAAATCAATAAATCAAACTCTCCCATATGCCCACAAATATTCTATCCCATTTTGTAGTAATGCACACACGGCAGTATATTGGATATGTTATAACTGAATGATTCTTAATAATTTTCACCATTTTTATGTATTAGTAATGTACCAGTTTTATTTACCTACAACCTATCTTTTCTTTTATGTACACTGAGAGCATATGCACCAAGACAAATTCCTTGTGTGTCCAATCACACTTGGCCAATAAAAAATTCTATTCTATTCTATTCTATTCTATTCTATTC